CCTGCTAGCACTGAACAGCAACGTCCTACCTTAAAGAGGACACAACATTACCAGACCACAGAAGGTATTATAATCTCAATGCAGAGGTAGCCTATCTGTCATCCCATATCTATACAAAGTGACTCGTGCTGTTGGCTCTAGCAAGGTCTGTGCTCGCACCTGCCAGACTGCTATGTTCCCTAGTCCCATTGGATGGATTTGGAAAGCCCCAGTGAAGCACACATGCAGACTGGCATCGTATTCCCTTGAACAGTAGCTGCCAACGGAGTTTGAACGAGGAGCCTTCCACAGAGGTCTGCTACAGAAACAAGATACTACTGAGCGTCTTCCTTCTTGCCATCTTTCTTCCATGCTTTTCTAATTTTGGAATGGAAAACACAGTCAGGGCAGCACTGTCAAAGGGTTGCTGAGCCAGGCCTAAGCTAAGATACACTCATCTTTCCACAACCAGCCTGGCACTATTTTTTGGAGCAGAATAAATGTCCCCAGACTATGCCCATACGTAAGTGGTTTATCTGGTCCTTCCTCCTTGCTTTCTATGCAGTGTGCCCCACCGCCATGCATGGCCCCAATAACTGCTTCTGCCATGCTCTGCATGGCGTCCGAGCTTCCTCAGCTGCTTCATATCTTCTGCAGCTATTTATCCACAGGAGCAGCTTGTGACTAAAACCACATCAGAGCTGAGGGTGGTTATATGCACGCTGCACTATCATCAATGAAAATGTGCATGTCTGGGGATGTGTATGCTCTAATTCAGTGCAGTGGGAGAGCAGCCTGGATTTCTGCAACATGCCCTGCTAGGAAAATATCATGGCATCCGACGAGCTGGAAAGAATATGAAAATGTTGTTGCATGCACAAAACAACAGTAGTTGTTGCAACTATGTCAGGTGAGAATGTCAGGCTGCCAACAAACACAAGATTACAAACAGGCCTTTAAACTCTGACTTCTGTGGTTTCTTAGAGGTATAGGTTGAATACTTGGCTAAAAAGTACATGCTTTGTGCTTCGCAGCTCATGTCCAGAGATTAAACACAGAAGGCTTGTGTGTATGTGGAAGCAAAGTTGTGGCACCACACAACTGTAAGGGAAAAAGATCAGGATTGACTGGATTTCCTCTCAGTAAGATAATTTGTTTTGCAGCATGAATACCCGTAATTTGCATGCTAGCATACTGACTCTGATTTGTCCCCTGGTGCTAAACTCTGCAAAGTCACAAAGACTGGAACTTTGCTGAACAAGACCCAAAAAAACTTTTAAGTTTTCAGTGGAGACTTTTGATGTTGCCAACAGCTAGGAATGCCATTTCATCTTAAATTAAGGGTAACATAGGACAGCCAACAGAATCTGGAAATTAGGGCTATACTTTTCAGGGGTTTTATATTACTTGTTTTGAACAGAGCTGAGAGGAGCTTGGCGTGAAGCCACTGTCCAAAACAATGCAGGGAAGCATATGTGGTTTGATAATTACTCAATGCCATTTGGGCTTTCAGTTTTTCCTGTCTTTCAGTCCAAAAGGTTTGAGGGTTCTAGGATTCCATTTCCTCTACAGTAAGAAACTCAACACAGTAACATTCACTAAAATCCTTTACCACTGCAGTTTACACCTATGCCACCTCCCAAAATGCAAATGTTTCCTGTGTTACATTATTTAGTAAGTGGATTAAATCAGGACTTGACCTACATGATGTGTTTTGCATCTATGTTTTTGAATCAGAATTTCCAGTAGCTAAACTCTGACTAACCCTACCGCTCAGCGTTCCTTCTTCCCCTTTTTTAATTCCCTGGCAATGTTTGTGATTTTCTATGTACAACGATAAGTGACACTGTCTGCCCAGGGCTTCTGGCAGCTTTAAAGGGTGAACAGTGAGTGGGGGACTTAACACCAGTTAACATTATAGACCTGAGTCCCTTTCCATAATTTCATTGTCCAGGGTGACTATGCACTAGGCTGACAAGTGGGTACCAAATGGAGAACAGAGAAAACACATGAGATAAGGAAGTGGAAAAGCAACAGGGAAAAGATTATGAGCAAGCAAGGCAGACATGTTTTTTAAACAATGAGTTAGGTGAGGGGATAAAAGATATTTTCTTATTAAACATCAAGTACAATGATAAAGTTTCCAGTAACATTACCTGTGACTTCAGAGCAAAATTCTCCCTTTGAACTCTGGGCAAGACCTATTTTATTGCACCGGGTGTTTCTGGGTGGACAGGTGGACAGACGCTTAACTTTAGATCATGTCATAGTTATACACAATTCAACCTTTTCCATCAAGTGATTTTGTTCCTCTGACCCTAGAATTTCATCCAATCTCCTTCTTTCATTTTTTTGGTAAGATATAAAAAGACAGTGCTGGAACAGAGGGCTACTGCACAATCTGTAGGATCTTACTATTACAGAAAGTAATCTTGTTGACAAGTCTTCATGGTTAATGAAAACTAGGAAACACAATAGCAACTCAAACTACAGCTTCATTTGCCTGAATTTATCACCAGGAAATGGTTTTACAGCAGCATAAGTTAGACAAGACCCACAGTTTTAGGCTGTAATACCACACATAGCTAAGCTGATGAAAGAGCTAGTTATAAAGGAAGAAGGCTGGCTCTCCTGGTTTCCTTTCCCTGTGTGGTCCTGTCCCTTCTGGCAGCAGCAAGCTGATAGATTAGCTTACCACACCTTGTAGAACCTCACCCATAGGCAGACTTGAGTCTCAAGTCCTGTCATGGTCTCAAAACAACAGTTTACGTTTCAGTATGTGTTCAGTATACATGCCGAAAGCCCAAATAAATGATGAATCAGAAATCTTATATACATTTTCTTAGGAGCACCTTGTAGAGTAGACACAGCCATAACCTTTGAGAGTTCACTCTAGATCCAAAAAGAGATTCAGGAGGAAAACTGAGATATTCATGGTCAAACAAAACTAAAACAAACCAACAAAACTAAGATCACCGAGACCTGCTGCTTCTGATATCGCAACAGGGACTCCAGCACTGTATTTACTGTCTTGTACACATACACGTGACCAATCATTCTAAGTCACAGAGATTGCTCAGTGTGTCTGACATTGAGCACAATTACCTCTTCTCAAGGCAGTCATTCAACAAGCAAAACTAATATGAAGCAAAAGAGTTTTGCAAATTAAAGGCATTAAAAACCCTGACATGCCAAGAAGTAGTTACTTTTTAGATGTCAGCAGTGGTAACTTTCCGCGGTTCACTCCCGTGGTTTGGACTACAATGACTCACGGCAACATAGGACAGACATGCCACTGTTACACTGTGTAGAGAAGGAGAAAGGTTTTGACATGGGAAGGCAAATGTTTTAAAAGCAAGCTTCCATATCCCGTGTAGAACGTGTCTGTCTTGCATATTATCGCAAGACTCATCTTTCTTAAGCTTGAGATCAAAAGCTAAGTGGCCTTAAACACAAATCCCTGTAATAGAAGGGTTAACTTTGTTCATAAAATCTTACGTGTATGAGGGAATAAGGAGCTTTTGTTATAATTCAACAAGATAAGTTTCATGGACATCCTGTTAATCAAGCAAGTATCAGTAAAAATAATTGCAGACATCTTGCTAAGCAAACAAGTATCAGTATCAGTAAAATTTACAACTGATAAGAAACTGCACCTTTCATCTCTGACAAATACCAGATGACCACTTAACAATGAGCTACAAACTCAAGCCTCAACGCAGCCGCATTAAAAACTCGGGACTTGGAAATGTATAAAAAGGAACATTTACTACATTTTGGTGTGTGCTTCGGCAGGGCACTTGCCCTCCAGGCCACCCAGCGCTGTTTTGCTTTATTATCGCTTGCTTAATAAATTTATCAATGTTTAATTGGAATTGAGTTGTCTAAATTCTTATACTAATTTATAACAATCCCTAACAGTTTATTTGCTGTGATATTCTGTACTTAGTACAGAAGACACCATGGGTTCCACTCCAAAGTATGCTTAACCTGCAGCACTTAATGACTTCATTGAGTCTTACACACATACTTTGAAAACAAGCACTTCCTATCTTTGATATTGCAAGGCCTTTTTCAGTATTGAGAAGTAGTTTACTCTCGAAACACACAGAGAAATATCAGGGCACTGGGAAATCTGTGCTAGGAGAGCTCAGCTCTCCCCATCGCTCCTGGCTTGACACCTCTGGAAGTGAACAAACTCTCCTTAGGAAGTTTACAAGCACAATTAATACTGGCTTGCAAGACTTCAGAAGCACTAAAGCTCCCCTGGGATACACCCTGACAGGCAGTTACTCACTCTGCGCCTGCACCTATTGCTGCCCTAGGTACGTGTTTTTTTTTTTTTTTTTCTTTTCTTTTTTTTTTTCTAGTACAGCCTCTTGCATCGGCCGCAGAAGAACCGAGCAAAGCTCACGGCTGTGACACCCGACCCCGACCCGACCCGGCCCGGCCCGGCCCGGCCCGGCCCAACTCCGGCGCGCCCACACCGCGTCCTCCGCCCCCGGCGCCGCTCTCGCGAGAGGCCGTCGCGCGCGCTCCATATTGGGGCATCTCTGTCCTTGGCACCGGAGCTCTCGCGAGCGCGGTCGTGACGAGCATTGGGCTGTGCGGAGTGTGCGGGGCCAGTGTCCGGGGTCGGTGCCCGGGCGGTGCGGGTTGTGCGGGGCCGGTGCCCGGGCTGTACGGGTACTCGGGGCCGGTGCCGCTCGGGGCGGGGTGGAAGCAGCTGCGGTGTCACCTGCGCGGTCCTACCTGCGGCGGGTGTGTGTCCCCGCCCCGCACGTCGGCGCCGCCGCCTCGCTCGCTGCCTGCTCTGCGAACCCTTCCGCGCCTCACGGGGCCATCCAGCCCCTCTTGGCTTAGCCCAGGGAAGGGAGAGCCGCGTTCGGCATCTCCCCCCACGTCTTTCGAAGGGGGGGGCAGCGGCGGCGCGGAGCGCGGGCGGGCGGGCGGGCGGGGCGTGAGGGGCCGGCGGCGGCCGCGTGGGCGTCCCTGCTGCGGAGCCGCCCTCGCCTGGGGAGCAGCGAGGCGGGGAGGGGAGGGAGCGGAGGAAAGAAGGAAGAAGGAGGGAAGGAAGAAGTTGTCCCGGCTGCAGGAGGAGGTAGTGGCGGCGTCGGTGCTGCTGCTGCTGCAGCCGCGGGCAAAGCCTCCCCCTCCCGCCGGGCCGGGCCGGGCCGGGTGGGGCTTGCTCCGCAGCCGAGATGTCCCAGGAGCGGCCCAAGTTCTACCGGCAGGAGCTGAACAAGACGGTGTGGGAGGTGCCCGAACGTTACCAGAACCTCTCCCCGGTCGGCTCCGGGGCCTACGGCTCCGTCTGGTGAGTGCTTGGAGGGGACCGGGGTGTACGGAGGAGGTCACGTTAGGTCGCTGCCCCCCTCCCCCGCCCTGCATGGACTCGCGGCGGGATCCGCGCGGGGCGGGCACTGCGGCGAGCGGAGCTTTCTTGTCCTTTGGGGGTTCCTCTCCCTCAGCTTCTTACCAGTCTCCTGTTAAACATTTTTCCCCACGGGTTAAGAGCGGTACTGCCGGGAAGCTGCAGCCTTGTCTTTGGAATGCGTTGGGGATTGCACCACATGGCAGGTGGCACTGAAACATGCTTGGAGGGGAAGATAATAATGTATCGTCCCAGGCCCCTCGCCCCGAATGATCTCATATAGACATATTTTACTGTGCCTTCTTGCAGTTAGTAGGTGGGGGCTGGAGAGGGATGGAGCCTGGTAAATCCCCCGTAGCTGGCTTTGCAGAGCTGAGGGCCTGGCAGCTCTTGTCACAGTTTCTTTCTGGACATGAAGGATAGATTATATTTGAGGCAATTGTATTTTTAAACGGAATTTGTTCATAGGCAGGGAGAAGTAGAGGAAAGGCTACGAGGACTGTTATTGTATCCCTGACTTGTTATAGTGGGTGTACAAGTACAAATGTCTTCTTCAGTTATAAAATTGTTGGTAAGTTGAGCTTCAGTGCGTTTGTAGCAAACGTGGGTAGAGCCCCTCTCAAATCTTCGTTCTCGAAGCCTAGCCATGATGATGAAGTTGAGCTGAAATGACATGCATTTCTTAAAATGCTGTGCCTCAAGTATGCAAATGCCTCCATTTCATAAAAGAAAAACAGGCTGCTCAATTTTGTGGCAAGATTAATAAGTATACTTGTTGATTTTTTTTTTTTGTGAAATCATAGAATGGTTTTGATTGGAAGGGAATAGACAGGTTTTGTTTGGTGAAAGAAGGGCCTTGTTGATGGAGCTGATAAATACCCCTGTAAGTATCACAGAGTTATGTAACTCCTGAAATGTAATGGTAAATTAATTTGCTTAGTGCCTTGTACATTGTATTTTAAGGCTGATTCTGTATTGTCTAGCCCACTCCTCTTTTCCCCCTCCCCACAATCTCCACTGTGTGTGTGTAATAGTTCCAAAGCTTATTTTCATAACCAGTAACTAAAGAGTTTGCATCATGAATTTCCTGTTTTGCTGTGTCAAAACTTTCAAAGATTGTGCAACTGTGTTCAGATTAAACAGTGTTGTATTAGAAGCAATTTCAAACATGTGGCACGAGCCTTTTTACAGTCCATGTTAATAGCTTTCCATATGTTCTTCTAAAAAAAAGGTTTCAGAAAACATGTAGTTCAAAAAGACTAATGATATGGAAAGTATGTCAAAGTTAAAAAAATCAACAAACGCAAGTCTTCACATACTTATGTAGGTTTATTGAGCTACAAGTGGTGTTTCATATTTCGGATGTTCCTGCAATGACTTGTTCTGCTCTCTGTCCCTTTTGAAAATTTTTTTTTCTCCCCAGTAAAAATTTACCTCGTTTTATTTGAGTCTTTGAGTTTGGTGTATCTTTTTTTGGATAGTAAATAGTGGGGTTTTAACCACCCTTAAACCAAATGGTTAAATATGCTTTGGTGTATGTTGGCTGCATTACCTTATTCAAATGTAATAAAATGCTCTGCTGTTTATTTAGCTGCCAAGATATGGCATTTGAAAATGAGGGATTTCTAGACAGAGGAGGGGAAAATTAATAAAAAAGAAAGAATTAAGCCAGTGGATGAGTCACTTAGACTGTGGAGCTGTTGGGTTCTTTGAATGTCTGTTGTGAGTCGGAATACCCTAATACAGGAACTTGTCTATTGTGTAGTCAGTGGATGGAGAGAGAAGCATTTTCTACAGGCAGCCTGAGACACGTGCCTAAAGTTGGAGCAAACATTGCACGTTTTTTCAAAGGGTGGTGCGCAGTGTTGGAAGAATGATGTTCAAATGACCAGCTCAGGTATTTTTCAAGATCTATTTCAAGAAATGGAAATATGTGGAGATGCAAGTGGGAATTCAGTTCTGAAACTTGGAGAAACATCTGTATGTATCCTCCCATTGATTCTTACTAAGTCATGTGACATCTGTTGTGTGAAATGTTATTTCATTTATTCTTGCAGCAGTTTTGTATGTTCATACAGCATAGTCTTTTGCGTGAAAAGGGTTTTGTAACCAGGCCTACACTGAAAAAAAAGGGTTCCTCATGTATCAGTCTTGTATTGTTTCATTTAAGGAGGAGAGGGACCTAGACAATACAACATCTTGCAGTGGGAAGTTGCTAAACAGGGATGGGATTGATGGGTGACTCACAGGTTAGTTGGAGGATTGCTTTGTTTCTTGTGTGTGCTGGTGAGAAGTCTGGGCACGTGGCATTAGTTCAGCCAGTTCTAAGCCAAGCAAAGCAGTGTTTTGACAATTTTTGCCATCAATGTCTAAAATGCTGTGAAGGCACACTCGGTATACTCTTAGTTTCCTTCATTGTTGTATTTTTAGCAGCTGCTGTGTGTGTGCTATATTGATACCTGTGTAAAATAATGGATCTGGTTTAATTGCTTTGTAAGCTGTCTGTGTGGCCTTAATTAATTTGGAAAGCAATTGATCAGCCAAAATTTATTCTTCCTCAAAACCTCGCGTAAGATTTTTTTGAATTTGGTTGTTTTGTTGTTTTTTGGTTTTTTTGGTAGACTGTCAGGTGATACAATCCTTCCAAAACCTATGATTTTTTCCCATTTCAACCCATAGTTGTACTAACAGTGAGTCTGAATGTCTTGGATACTGAGATAATTACCAGAAAAATGTGTGGGTTTAAGAAATTTTAAAACATTGGGCTCCAGAGGGAATGAAATAACAGCCTTAAATATCACCTCTGTCGTAACAGTTCCTCTGTGGATTTTTTCTAATACCTCATCAAAGCATGCAGGTGCCTCCAAAGCATGTATGTGCTTGAAGGGACATGTGCCTGCTTCTCCTGTAAGGTGTGGTAGATATGTGAGGAGTGATAGGAAAAGAACTACAAAACTGAGTGGAAGGAAGCAACCATACAGGCACGATTAGCAGAAGATGTGTGAGGAAGGGAGAATCGAGTAGCAGAAGGGCAGGCACAGAAAAGCCATGGACAGAGCTCTGAAAGTGCTGGCAAGTAGTTTGAACTTTATGGGAACTTCGTATATTAAGAAGTGAAATTAGTATGGGGACATCTGTCCCTATCTATAGGAAGATTTTTATTGCAACTTTCTTAGAAGCAGAAGCTAATGTAGCAGAGGAAAATGAGATTTACAACTTTGATGGTGTATTAGAAGGGTACCTGACTGAAATGCAGGTACAGGTTTTACTTAGAAGTGACTGCTGTTAATAATAAACTGTCAGGTACTAAGAACTATGTTTTTCTATCTGTGATTAGGGGTACATAAATTAACTCCAGAGGTACCACTGAAGATACTCATATAGCTTGGGTATTTGCACTAGCAGTGTGCAGCATACTATTTAGCAAAGTAGGCTTTGCAAAATAATCTTTGTGATTATCCAGTATTTAAATAAATTGTGTTCATAAGTAATTTTGTGCATGCTTCAGTTCCTCAGACTACTTCAACTGTTACTTCTAAGATCTAAGTTGGATCAATTTATAGATTCTCTAAAATATTTGTTTTATTCTACCTTTTATGTTCTGGATTTAATTCAGGTTAGCTCAGAATTGTAATTCTAGCTTGCTTAGGGTGAGGTGGATGCAGTTCATTTGCCATAGCACAGTACCGTGTAAGAGATTAAAAAATGTATGATAAAATCTCAATTTGCGCTGATCCTGTTCTAAAAGGGATTTAAAACTGTAGGCCATGCAATTTTTTTACCCAGTTGGGCTTTGTTAGCTGAAAAATGATCAGTGTAACGCAGCTCTTTTAAGTCTGTGATGGATGCCAGATTCATGTTCTTCAAAATGCTCTCCAACTTGTAACTGTCCTGTAGCTCTGTGAGAACCATTAGGCAAATTATCTGTATTGGCGGAAAATTACTCAACATGCTTTTATCTGTAGGGAAATAGTCTTTAGGCCTCAAATATGACCAAACTTAGTCTTCTGACTTTAGGAGTAAGTCTAAATTGTGAATGTGCAGTAATACAAAACTTTCTTTCCTGGCCTTGTGCACAGTGTCGTTGTTGCAGTGCTGCTGATTGCAATTCCCCTTGGGCATTGTACAGCTACTATAGCAGCATAATGACTTGATACAGCCCCAAAAATTGTCATTAAAAAAAAAAAAAAAGGTGAAATTGAATTTGATTTGGACCCTGAAACAGCTTATGTTATGTCTGATAGTTCTGAAATCTTCTTGGAAATAGAAATATCTGAAATATCTTGGAAACCAAGAGAGAAATTTGACTCAAGAGCTGTGGAAGTGGTTAAGATGCTGGGGATCTCCTTTTCAGTATGAGTTACTGGTATATGCTGCATTTTTTTACCTGAAATGTTTGAAAACTGGTAAAGATTCATGGCTAATTCACAACAGCATGTGTTGAATTATGATAACTAATCCTATTTTTGCTGTAAGTCCTAGAAAACACATTATGTATCAGTAAAATATGTAATTTCAGGCCGAATTAGGGATCTTGGTATATTGTAAAATGGTGTATGTATTTCATGAAGTGTTGCAGCTTAAATACTGATTTTTCTAGTGGTGTGTGAGAACTTGCTGATTTCAAATCAAGAGTAAAAAATGAACGCCTAATGGCTTCTTTTGTCTACTCAAGCTGAGTGAGGTGTAAAGGATAACTTGTGTGCGCAAGTAGTTGCTCACGGGCATTCTTTGAGCCAGTATGATGTAGCTTGAGAAATTCACCTGTGGCAGGTTGATGCTCCAGTGACCTGCTGTCTGTACTCCTGTAATTTTTCCAGAGAGCTCTTTCCACTGTGTGTATGCCCTTTACCGAAAAGGAGATACTGTTCTTCCGCTGTTCACAGTGGGTGTTTCCATTCTCTGGCAGGACCTGGGGAAGGGATCCCTGTTTGTAGAAGTGAATTGATACTGTGTTCTCTGTTTCTCATGAACCTCATTTATGAAATTCCTTGGAAACTGGGCAACTTTGAGCTAAGAAGTCTTTTTGCAGGTTAATTCCAGTTGATTGCTTTAGGAATAAATGACAACTGCATTTATTTCAAATAGCTCCTTTGGCAGGGGTGGGCATTGTGGGTTGCACGTGCAATTGTGCGTTTGTTCTAGAATTACTTTTTTTGATTGATTTTGAACTTTCTGTTAGTTGAGCTTTACATTTCACATCTTACATTTATAAATGTGTAGCATTCCTTTTCACTTGATGTTTATCGAGAACTAGTTCATACTCATTATTAAATGGAAACAGGAGTTCACTTGAGTCATAGTGCAACAGGAAAATAAACAAATATTGTACTTCTATGACCTTCTTCATTCCATACTCTCCCCATGTTTGTTATCTTGAGGCAAGTGTTACCTTGATTGCACATCCTCCCTTTCTCCTTCTTTTTGGATAGACCAGAGCTTTATAAGTTATATAAGGACTTACTTAAGAAAAGATAATTTTACGCTACAAAGCATAAAAAAACCCAAACCTATTTGTACAAAGTTTCTGCTAAAGGGACAAGTTTTGATAATGTGCAGCTAATTGTTATTTATTCACGTGCATTTTTGTATAACAGAACTTTAGGATTGGATGTGATTTACCAAAGAAATTTGGTTTCAGCTTCAACCGTAGTTAACAGCAGTCGTAATTGATTTTACTAGGCATAAATCTTGGATTTTTGCATGGACTTAAATCAATGAATGATAGTATTTTGAGCGTAGCATTTTGTGATGAAGTGTGGCATATGAAAGTGTGTTTAGGAATAGTGATAATATTTAAAAGTACTTTTCCTCTTTCCAGAGCTTTATTACATATTTAGTTTAAGAGCACTTTAGACAGCAAAGTCATAAACATTTGCTTTTTTTCCTACAAATTTTCCCTTTACTATATGGACAAGACCCATCTTTTAAACATTTTCTGTAGAAACCAACAGTTGTGTAAATATGTGGGGATTTTGGGTGAGAGTACAGGTTATGGACCAGGAGACTTAGAAATTATTTTCATTGGAGAAATGGCGTTGATTGTGATTCAGTATCTAGATAGCTACTATCTAGAGTTTCTAAGTGTGGATTTGAAGGCATTTATAAAGAATTCATTTGGATAATTTGATTAATCTTTGTTGTAGTTCTGCCTTTGACACAAAAACTGGGTTACGTGTGGCTGTGAAGAAGCTGTCCCGACCATTTCAGTCCATCATCCATGCCAAAAGGACCTACCGAGAGCTGCGGCTACTTAAGCACATGAAACACGAAAATGTAAGTTGAAGGAGGTGGTATGAAATGTTTATCTGAAGTTGGACTATCCAGTGAGCATCTGTCATTGTATTTAAGATCTTGCTGCGTGTGATTTTTTTCCTAATGCTAAATACAAAGCTTGCAGTAGTGCAAGGGATGATAGCTGTAAAAAAGCATGCAGAGTGAAAAAACCAAACCCAAAAAACCCCACAATACCAATTTTGTATTAAAAAAAATCTTAATATTCTATAGAATATAATCTTGAAGTTACAGTTTAGCCAGTTCATGCTGTCCTAAGGATTTGGGACACAAGTGATGTCACATTCTCATGTTTACTTGCTGTAGTAAACTGCAGTTTTTGTTATGTTAAGCATTTACCTAAAGAAAGAAAATCCCAAAGTTTGTTTTTAGTGGTTTTTAATACTTGTTTTGGCTTGCCTGTATCAGAAGGGTGGGAAGTAGATGTTCACTAGATTCCTGTAGGTAAAATAGGGAGGAAAAAAGGAGTGGTGGTGAAGGTGTGGAAATTAGATGGCTTTTCATACAATGGAAAGTATGGCAGTTTAAGGGGCTCGAGCATAAGGTGGTTTTCTATATCCTGTATGTAGTCTAGTTCATTCTGATCTTGAGCAAGTAAATGAACCTGCAGGGCACTCAAGTGTGTCTGCATTATATTTTCAAGTTTCAGAAGGCCTTGTTAGCTTGCCTAAAGCACAACACTGAGGAGATGGAAATAAAAACATTTACTGGAAGGAGTAGCTTCTATGCCACAAAGGATCTTAGTAATTATATCATATTATGCTATGAATATATTTCACAGCTTTACTATTTTCTTTCTAGGTGATCGGCTTGTTGGATGTGTTCACCCCTGCCAAGTCGCTAGAAGAATTCAATGATGTGTAGGTAACTTCTCTGAAGACTGCAACAAAATACCTTTTGTATCTTCTTTATGTCTCCCACATTATTACAGAAATACTTGGCACCTTAATTTGTTTGCCGTCATTCACAAATAATTCTGAATTCCAGCACAAAGATACTAGGACATCCTAAGCTATTGGACTTGTCAAACTTGTTCACTTGGTATGTTTTATTGACCAGCGCTGTTGGAATCAGCGTAATAATCTGCTACATTATTTAAAGCATTGTGGATATATTTCATTCATTAGCATGCTTTGGGGCAGTCAGCCCTGCTACTGGAGATGCATAGGGAATTTTTATCCTAATCCTGTTGAAGAGATTGCTTCACAGCCCACGTGTTTCCTTCTGATAATAGGTACTTGGTGACACACCTTATGGGAGCAGACCTGAACAACATTGTGAAATGCCAGAAGCTCACCGATGACCATGTGCAGTTTCTCATATACCAGATTCTTCGGGGACTGAAGGTACGTGCATCTGTCCTACCCCAATGCTCATCAACAGGAGACGCAAATTTTTGAGGAGTGTTTTATCCTCAGAGATTCAGATGAGTACACAGTGGGGCTTCTGTAACTTTCCTAACGTATCATAGGATAATTTTGTATTATTGTTCTTTCATTTTATAGCTCTTTGGAGCTCTGTATCAGTAAGTTGCCTATCGTTTTTGTGTATTCGTGTGGCCAGGGTCTGGAAAACTATGAACTGATGCCCTCTAATCTGCTCTGGCTATGAATTTGCCCTTTCTTCAGTTTCATTTACTTTTGTGGTTCCACTCAGGTGACAGCACTCCTGGGTGTTCCTAATGAAAGACAAACTGGAACACCTACCTACTTAAAACTCACAGACACACAGTCAGTTCCTTCTGCAGACAGGCTGTAGCATTTGAATTGTGTGGGCTGGGGTAGGGCAGTATTTTCTACTGAAGAAATGAAAAGGAGGCTACTGGGATTGTTATATAAAATTTATCCTCTTTTCTTTTACAGTACATCCATTCAGCTGACATAATACACAGGGTAAGTGTTAATTCTAAGATTGTTTTTGTACAGAAAACAATGTCTTCAAAAATGAAGCACAGAATTTTATGATCTAGCACTGATTGAAGCCAGAAGAAATTTTCCAAGAATTAGTTTGGTTAAATAATAAAAAGATTAAATATGGGAAGTGGTTATCAAGATCTGTAGCTTCTGCCTGTGTTCAACTTGTATCTTTGTGAAGCAGCTTTTCTGTTAAATATACATATATTGCACTGATTTTGCAATAATCCTTTATGCAGTTTTGCTTATATGTGATATCTCTGACTACCATAAAGTACTTTACCCAGAGTTGGTATTTACACTCAGTTAGAATCTATATTTCTATCTGCATTTATATTTTTATCTACTTCAGACTTGTGAAATAACACTGTTGATGTTTAATTTTTAGGATTTAAAACCTAGTAACCTAGCTGTTAATGAAGACTGTGAGCTAAAGGTAATGTAATCACAAGATCTGATTGCTTTGAGTGAGATTTGAGTGAGATTTGAGTGAATGCTGTGTGGAAGTCCCTTGCAATTAAAGGGTCAGAATGATGCCTTTTGAAAATACTTTGTAGCCCAAGGTACTAATGTACTTCCCAGCTGTAAAGGGATGTAAGGATGTGTTTTCTGTATCTGTGTCTGTGTTTCTAATGAATCATAATGAAAGTGAAGAGTTAATAGATTTAGTTTGGGTTTAGTTGCTTTGGAGACAAGATATCGAGACATAATTCTTATTGTCGAGTCCTATGCCGCTCTAGGCTAGTGTATTTTAACAGGTTTCATAATCTGGTGAAATCTGGTTTCATAATCTGTTTTTTGCAGCTCCGCTTCCTCTCTTCTACCCATTCCAGTGATTGCTTGGTTGTTTGCTCTAGCTGGTTTCCATTGTTCCACTGCAGTAGTTTGTGTTATGTCTTTTTTGTAGATCCTGGATTTTGGCTTGGCCCGACACACAGATGACGAGATGACCGGTTATGTGGCTACCCGGTGGTACAGGGCCCCTGAAATCATGCTGAACTGGATGCATTACAACCAGACAGGTAATGCCTCTAACTAACACAAGGCTTTTCAGTTTCTGAATGATGGGGAACAAAGATTATCCTTCTACGTGCTTCCTTCCATTTGAAGGTGTAAGTCAGCAGTCATGGTAATTATGCTTCAGTAAGAGAGCTTAAAAGAAGCAAGCCATAGAATTGGTATTTGAACCACAGTCTGTCAGATGTAAGTTAAGAATCATTGTGATAGCCTTCACAAGACTAATTTAAATTTGAACCTTTGAAACTGCAATCAGTAAAATATTGTCAGCACTTATCCATTGTTTTCTCTAGCTCAGTAGGTTTTAAAGTAAGTCACGGGAATGTATCTGGATGAGGAGAAGGTGTGCTTCTAGGAAGCTACTGGGAATACATTGAAAAATGTCTGCAGTTATACTGTGAAGAAATGATTGGAAAGTATATAAATCTATTCTGTCCTCTCTTGTTAGCCACTTGTTCAGAGTTTTATCTTCCTCACAGTTTCGAGTATCTTCTGTCTAGCACACCGCACTTCCTACTTGCAGATCAGGCACAGAGAAGAAAAATCAAAGGTTGAGAGTGGTTCTTGTACAGGACGGCATATGCACCAACCATACGTGCTACCCCAATTTCATACATCAATACTTTTTCTTTTTTTTTTTTTTTTCTTTCCTCTTGCATGTATATGGGCTTGTCTTATATCTCTGGTAAGATAGTTGGTGGTTGTTTGGGTAGAATTTATGTAAGGCGACATGCAAATTCATTCCTCAGAGTTGTCTTGGTCAGGTTTTGTCCTCTGATTATATAGATTCCTCCACAGCTCTTTGATGTTCATGTTATGCTCTGGAAGGAAGAGTTGCCTGGTCTAGTATTCTGTTGTTTGTACAAGTTTTAGGTGACACAGTTACGGAACTGTATTAGTAAGCTTGCAATGTATTTCAGATTGCTTCAACGACATAAGACTGTTTAAAGGTGGAGTTGTTTGGAGTAGTTGGAACAGGGTGATTCTACTGAGATTGTATTTTTATGCATTATGTTTTGTTTTCTCTTTTATTTTGTTTAGTTGATATTTGGTCAGTGGGATGCATTATGGCTGAATTGTTGACTGGAAGGACGTTGTTCCCTGGTACAGACCGTATCCTTTAGAAGTAATATATTTTTTGAAATGGAAGTTACAGATCTTCATTTTCACAAATACTTGACAAGAAAATAAGTTCTGTGTTTGGTTGTGTACTTTTTTTGTTTGTTTTCAAATTAATGGCTTCTATTACAGTATGATGAGGTGAGTTCTTGATTTTGCTGCACATCTATTCCTATTTATTAGCATCACTAGAACTACTGACATACTGTTTGTTTTTGGGAGTTACTTTCCTTTATTTAAATTTATTAGTTGAGTTTGTAGAAAATACCTGCATGGCTGTATGCTGAGAATCCTATCATGCTTCGGGTTTCTAGCAAATGTGAAACATCCCTTCTGACCTCTCTTTCGTCCTGGGGGTGTGCTGTGAAAGCAGTGGGTTTGCAGATTCTTTAGTGTCAAGGTTCTCATTAAAATTGCTTTGAAATGTTTAGGTTCTGCTTCCATGCCTGGAAGTAAACAGATTTGTGAGCCTTCTTTCGCTCATATTGATATGAAAAATCGAGCTTGAATAACGTTGTTTCAAAATTTATTTATTTTTTGCCTTATCAAAGTGGACGGGGTAAGACACTTTGGCAAATTTATGAGAACAGTTTGTGAGATTTGGTCACATTTTCCCCAGGAAGCTGGAACTGAGGCTTGATGCAAATTGCTGCTCTTAACATCTTTTCTCCATTCAGGCGCACAGCAGGATAATTTACTACTGGCAAGACTTTTCATTGCTAGAGGACTTTATTTGCCAGAGAAAAGTACATTGCCCACCTTCTACCAAAGTTTATTATTTCAACCACAGTTTATTTTAATAACTTTTATTAATTTATTAGTATTTATGTCTGTTAATTCAAATATGTTAGCACTTGATGAAAAGAAAACTAGTGTTAGAAGTGCTGGGTTTCTGTTTACTGTGTTACTTTTGGAAAACATCTTGGGGAAAAGGCTCGCATTCCAGCTTTGACGCAGTTTCAACTCCCTTTTCAGTGTGCTGTAACTTTATCCTCTTCTCTCTTTGTCTGGTTGTCTTCATCTCATAATTTGTCTCATCTCATAATTTGTTGAATTTGTTGTATTCCACTGTGTAGTCATCTCTGCTGTATATTTCTGTTGTCACACAGAAACTGAGCTAAAACAAAAGTGGCTTCAAAGCTAGAAAAAAAATCACTCTATTTCTATCCACTGATCGAGCATGTGTAGGTTGCTTTGAACAGATTTTTTTTTTTTGTTTCTTTCAAGAAAAACTGAGGGATCAAGAATTGTGTATTGAAACAAAGCAAAAGTCTTTCAGCTGTTGCCATTATTTGACTCTAGTAACAATGGCACTTTAGATTTTAAAAATCTTGACACTTGCAACTATAATATTTGCTAATAGGCTTTGCAATGTGTAACAAATCCTTCATGATGAGTTCTTTATGACTTGAACAAAAGAGTGATCTTCCAAGCCTGAAAATTTTTTTCTCTGTGTTCTTAGCTGTAAATTACAGCCAATAATATCTGCAATGCAAAATAGAGTTTACTTCTAGGATCTAAATTGTTTGCTCTGTCAAAATGAGATACTGCACTAAGTTATATCTCCCAGCAGATGCTTGTGATTGTTTATACTTTAAATGCACAATTTCTTTCGCAAATGGCAGCAATGCTTTTTAATTAAATGCTTTTTCTGTTCTGAGTTGAGATGTAAGAAAATATGGTGAGATTTAAGAAAAATAAGGCCCAATCCTTTCCCATTTTAGACAAAACTTTGTAGTACTGTAGTTCTTACAGTTTGTGTGTGTGGTTTCCCACTTCAAGTAAATGTATATGTTTTTGATTGTGAAGTTAGAATTATAAGGGGAGGAGCCTTGGTTCAGAATCTTGTTTGTGCATGTAAGACTCATCCAAGGATCTAGAAAGGACCCAAGCTGTCAGCTTTCATCCCAGTTTTGCTGATATCTAAAGACAGCAAGCAGAAGTAAGATAACAATCGGCTCTAGTTTCTTCCTGTCTTGGAAGGCTCTCTTTTTTTATGCATGATTTTAGAACAAAGTTTTTAAGAAATTTTCCAGGTTTAGATGCTGTTGGATAGTTCTGGGCTCTTAATAACTTGTTTGTACCTGCAGATCTGCTGAGGCCTGTGTTCCTCCTGCAGTGTCACTATACAACTGCTGACTTACTGACTTTGCAAATAATATTAACATACATAATTCAAGGTATGTTTAGCTTGCCTCTAGTAAGTATTGCTTGCCTCAAGTAAGCTTGCCTCTTGCAGTATATCCAAATCCACTGCAGTTCTAGAAAATTCTTTTTGCAGTTGGAGGCAACATGACTGCTTTCTGTGTGTTCAGGAAGCTGGAAATTGCTCCTGTTTCACAACTGAAAATTTGAAATTCTTCTTGCTTTTTGGTCTCAAGATGTTAATTTTCTCGACTCTAGAGCTTCACATTTCTAAAATTAAAGAGAGAGTGACAGAATATGTAATAGCTTCTCAGGATGATTGTCCTGTTCAGATGGTTCTTTTGTTTGAAGTATTGGTGCCTTTCACCAGGAATCTGGCAGAAATGGCATGATGTTATTTACAGTCCATCACATATTTCTTTATGCGGCCCAGAGATGCATCTGTTACTTATAAGAAGCTTCAGTGTGGGTAAGCTGTACAGTCCATCTAATTGGGTAAGTAATAAAGTTGTATTCCGAGATTATGATCTTCAGTACTGTCTGTGATGATTATGCCACTGATAAACTAATGCTGAACTTAATGTTCTGAAGGACCTAATCTGTAGAGATTCTGAACATGGCTGTCATTGACTTAAAGCAAGAATTGAGATACTCTTAGAAAGAAAACCCCTATGGTTAATATGGGCTTAGCTCTGCAGTATTGTTACAGTACCCCTAACTTAAAACTGAATGTAAGGTAATTGTAATTATTTGTATTGTAATCTACGGGTAGAAATATTTGGATGGAAGATGGACTTCCAGTATTGGTAAGATCTCTGCCAGGAGGCGAAGAAGGGGAGCGAGATTGTGAGAAAGACTAGTCAGAGACAAAAAAATGAGGTAATGAAAATCATAGTCCTTTAAACTTTTAGCATGAGTCATAGATAGAGGCTTTTTTTGGTAGTATTGTATCTGTCTTATACCAAGATCAGTTTCTGCTAAATATGTATATTAAAATTCTGCAACTCTTGTAATGTGAATGATTCACACAAGTAAGTAGGAATATTGACTCTGTTTGATAGTGCAACTCGCATAAAATCATATATAGTAAAAATAAGAATATCTAGAACTGTTTGTACTGGTTTAGCCAATTTTGTTTCTCTATATGTTTTAAATTGACTGTATTCCCTTAAGCTCTGAAGAGTTTTTTTTATTACTATTTTTATTCAGTAGTATGGCTCCCATGATATAACTAACCAGTCTGAAATTACATATTCTTCTATTAAGTCTTATTCTTGCTTGTGGTGGCAGCTAAAAAAACTTTGAATTTGCTTTGTCTTGATAAGCTCATACAATCCTATGCTAATGGTGATGGCAGGTTGTTTTCTGAATTTTAGAATCACTGGAGGCTCATCAGTCCTTAGGAGTACCTTGGAGATGGCACTTGGGGTTTGCATGCTGGGCTTTCCTTCTCTATGCACGTGGTGGCATTTTTCTTCTGCTTTCTACTTGCTACATCGTTTTTCTATCTTTAATTGTTATGGCTCATTTCTCTGGGTAGTGTTAGGCCCTGTAGTTAAAGAATGGTGCAGTTCAGCAGGCTATAGATGGCAGGCCTGATACTAGAAGCAGGATTGGATTTCGGCGGGCCTGTGACCGTGCCAGTTACACATCCTATGTTTTGGTTATCTCAGAAGTCACTGAAGCATATTACACGAGTATCTTCCAGGAGTAAATGGGGCAGCAATATTGTGGGCATGCCTCGTGCACATGATTTTAATGCCTTTAAAGTAATTTAAATATTTAAGTATGGCATGTGACTTCTGAGGCACGTTAGCAGTCTGAAATTTACACAACCGTGTCTTGCACAAGAATGAATGAAAGATGTAAGGGCTGTTTTAAATGGCACTGGAGAAAAGCCAATTTAAGAGCCAGTTGTGGTTAGTGTAGCGCCCTCTGCTGTTTCTCTTACACCAGTGGATATTCTGATTTCATTTTAAGCATTGACAATTAAGAGTTGGCAATTCAGCTAAGCTAAATCCAACTAGATACATTGGATTTGCTCTTAGGTTAGGAGTGCTTTAAGTAGCTAGAAGTTGACCAAGAAACTTGAAAAGTGAGAAGTTAATTCATCTGTTCTGACGAACTATTTCCAAGGCTTTTAATTTATGTAATATGTAAAACTTTAGACCAGAGTTTACATCAAAATGTGAAGGTTTTAGCAAAATATTGATATTTTGCTTCATATACAGTTTGCCAGTTTTACAGGAGCTCAGAGTTGTTGGTTTTCACTTTGTTTTTTTAAACAGGTGACAGTTTTTGAAGTTCCTTATAGTACTGAAATTAAAAGATACTCTAACAAGAAATGGTAGCTGTATCTTAAATCATCAGGAAGGCATTGATTCCAGAAAAATTCCAGGTTGTCTAGTAAGTAGACTACTTTTATTGAAAGGGAAATGTGTAACTAGTTTGGTATAATTAAAGCAAATGTAAACATTACAGACAGTCTGAAATCACTATGGAGGATAATTCAGGGAAGAAGGGAGATTATGTGTTAATGGTTTTTAAAAAAGTGCTTTGTCTCCTTACTATCTTGAGTTTTAGACATAAAACAGTGTCTTTGATGGACCAATTTTTTCCTCCACTCATCTGTACATTTTGTCACTTAGGCTTTGTTAAAGAGGACAGCTCAGACTGGTATGTGACCTGGTGGAAGCTCTGTTCTGGATAAAACATTCTTTGCATCTGCAGTGTTACGTCCTGAGAGCTGTCCACAGAGATACATTAAACATTAACCCATGTTCTGTTTCTCTCTGCTGCTCCAGCAGGTCTGGAGGGCAGAAGGGAGGTGCTTTGGCCCCTCTGCTCTCCTGGTCCCAGGGGCTGGCAGGGGCCAGCAGCCCAGCTGCTCTGGGCCTGGGAAAATTGGGCCCCATGCTTGGGTGAAGCAATGCTGGAGGTTACAAGCAGGGCCAATCATGTTCTTACTTTCTAAGTTTTAGAAGTGGCTAAATTATCTTGGAAGGTGTTCACAAAAGGCCTTGACTTTCTTTTTAATATTAGTGCCTACCCTTTTCAGCCTTCTGCTTTACTTCAGCTGTCACTAATGCAAATTAATCCTGCTAACTGCGGCCATGTTGGTGTGGGGCCTGAAGGGGTGAAGGGAGCATGTGAACTGATCCTGTGCCAGTGGGGCAAAAGCTTCGAGTTCTGCTCCAAAATAGTTAAGGATGCAGTGACCGATTCAATGCATGTTACGTATGTGTAGGCAGGATGTTCAATCTGTCTGATAGAGAGATGAGTTATAAAAGGGTATTCATTTGTAAACAAGAGGAATTAATGTGGTTTGCTTAAAACAAATTTTCAGTCAAGGCCTTGGCAAGAATTAATTTTCAACATTAATAGGGTGATATGTTGCACTTTTCATTTTGATTTCTCCCAGCATTTTCCTTTATGGTCCATCATTAGATATTGATCAGTTGAAGCTCATTTTGAGACTCGTTGGAACCCCAGGGCCTGAGCTTTTGAAGAAAATCTCCTCAGAGTCTGTGAGTTTACACTTTGATTGTGATATCTGCCCTTTCAGAAGTCCCAAGTTTGTGTGTTGTTCTCCTGTAGTCTCTCTGTAGTATGTGTTGGGATTTATTTTCTGTTATTTTAATTCTTTTGTAATTCTTTGCTCTTGGATGGCTTTGAATTCTTATGCTATGTGTATGCGTTCTTTATTCCTCTTATCTCTGCCCACGGTATGATTTTGTCCTTTCATATTCCCATTTTACTGCTTCGTGACTTTTCTTTCAGTTTGTGGATTGATTGTATGATCAGATATTACTGGGGAAATATTTTTCACAGCTAAGAGCTTGAGGCTTCTCTCTATTATTACTTCTCCAGATTACATACCCAGGGATCTTTCTAAATAGAAGCAAGTGTGTTATCCTGTAAACACACGCAGTCCCTTCTGTACTGTGATTAATTCCTGAAACACTGCTGCCACTATCTTTGTTTTTGTAGCATAAAATGCCTTTTAGATGCCTGTATGTAGCAACTGTTTCCAGGGCACACAGCACAGTCTGCTGAGCATATAACTACTTGTGCTATGTAGGATGCTGCTATATGGGGCCCTTTTTATCAAGGTAATAGCAAAAAACAGCCATATTGCCATTTGCTATATTGTACTAATCTTGAATTGTGAACTTCTGCAAAGACAGTGTTAAAAGTGGCCTTTAATTTTACCTGTTTGTGAAGGTGGAGTGCATAAACGTTAGAGCAAGGGTGCCGTAACAGTCGGGAGTAGCAGGTTAATCCACAGTGAGCTGGCACAGAGATCACTTCAGCAAGTCACTGCTGTTTGTGATGCACAGCAGAGGATCAGAGCAGTGGAGAGTGGGGATAAGATTTAGTGTTGCAGCTTATGTTCCTGTTCTTGTAATGGTGACTGTAAATACAAAATGTGAGATTAGCCTTGGATTACATGTAATGAAGGTAGATATACAGTACAAATGGGAATAAATTGGTCAACTTGCTGAATATCCCACTGATTTAAAAAGCCCTGGGATGTTCTACCTTTGGAGAAGTTAGAACGGAATAATGCAGGTTGCTTTGGTTGCTCTGTGAACTGACCTTAAGGGCTAGTCTGGTGTTTGAAGTAGAGGATTAGTGAGAGATATAAACTGAAAGGTTGACTAAATTAAGCAAAAGATTAGTTTGCGTATGTAAGTTGAAGTGGGTCTTTTATTATATTTATTGTGCAATAATAGTTAAAAATAACTCTTACTGAGGTCTGAAACAAGAGTCTTTTAAAAAAAACCGAGTAAAACATTGTTTCTACAATTTTTTTCCATTGTATGGGGAATGCAAAACTATTAAGTGTTTGAGGGCCTTTAGTGTGTCACTATAACAAATTGTTCTTCTGCTGCATTACTTTACTTGCTCTCACTTTCCCTGTTCACTGACATCAGCTGTCTTATGCAAAGCTAGTGTTTTGCTAGTTTTGCACTTACTGCTTTCTCTCACCTCGCCCACATATCAAAGTGCATTCAAAGCTGTTCAGAAGGTGTCAGTTGTGGGCCAGTTTCACTTTGCACCACTTTCTATGCAGTGAGGAGGAAAAAAAAGCTGGTAACCAATGCAGAGGATGCAGGTCTTGTTTCTGTGTTAATTTTTGTTCATTTTCCTGAAGCTATATGTAGCTGCAGCAGCCTAGGAAAAATTTTAGGCATAGCTTCAGCTGAAGGAAACATCTGCTCTGATGGCTTAAAAGTTTAGGGAAATGTGAACGCAACCATGTTGGAGTGTAATAGTGCTTTCATTGAACAGAAATACTTCCTGTACTGGCAGTTACCAACTGATCAGTGATTCTCCATTGTTTCAAGTGTTCACTAGTGTAATTGTTTAACTTCTCACAGACAGATGAAAAAATTAGTGGGCCCTGCCTGTATGGCTTTTGCCATGTGGTTTGCAGAAGAGATGCTTTGTATGCAACTGTTTTCTGTTTAAAATGGTTTTTGCACTGTTTTTAACAAAGCCCTTGACTAGGCACTTAAGATATTAACCAGCTTCAGCAGATCATGCGTCTGACGGGAACACCCCCTGCATATCTCATTAACAGGATGCCCAGCCATGAGGTGAGATCTGAGCAGATGAGGGGGTTTTGCAGGGCAGATCTTCACTTAGTGTTCACCTCCTCTATAAATTCTGTGCTTGCATGTGGCATGGGGTGGGCAATTAACTACCTGCTCTTCAGCAAGATTTTTGTACTAAATGAAGTCTTGAGATTTGGACAGTGCGTACCCAACCACAGACTTCTGAGACTCAGGAGAGCGCGGATGTAAGTTGGTTTTGTACTGTGTGCTGTGTTGCGCAGTTTCCCAGTGAACAGCACGCTGCACGCAGCCTTACTAGGACTCCAGGGAGTCAGCTCTTGCTGTACCTCTTTGCTTTTCAGTCTTGCATGAACCACGAGTAATGTTAGTTCTTCCTCTACTGTCTTGAGTGCCTGCTAGTTGGGACAGGATAATGCTGATGCACTTAGTAAGTGTCAGAATAAGTAAAGAGAAGGCAAAGCAAGGAAACAGACTATAGTAACGAGTGCTTCAGGAGAGTTGAAAAGTACTTTGTCTTGGTGACTGGATTGTGTTATACTTCAATACAGCATTTATTTCCACAGGCAAGAAACTACATTCAGTCTTTGTCTTACATGCCGAAAATGAACTTTGAAAATGTGTTTATTGGTGCCAATCCCCTGGGTAAGACTTGTTTATTAAATGCTGTGTTCTTCCTGAAATTGAAGCTAGCATGTCCTGGGACACAAAGACATTCCCAAAGTTTTGTTCTGACTGCAGTAGTAGTACAGAACAGGGCTATGTACTGTTTTCAAGTTTACAAAGTATGTGTGGGCTGAGGGTGTAAAAGGAAGAAATTGTGGGTGATGGGTGGGTCCTGAGAAACTGTAGATTCCTCATATACGTTGGAGTTTTACAAGCTTACATTTCAGAATACACTGTCACACATCTCACTGTGTAATCCTTTCTGTTTTGGTGCTCTCGCAGCTGTGGACTTGCTGGAGAAAATGCTGGTACTGGACACAGACAAACGCATTACTGCAGCAGAAGCACTGGCCCACGCCTACTTTGCTCAGTATCATGATCCAGACGATGAACCAGTGGCAGACCCCTATGACCAGTCTTTTGAAAGCAGAGAACTTGAGATTGAAGAATGGAAAAGTAAGTTTGGGGGAGAGGAGAGAGAGCCAGCTAGCTTCTCTTGTGGTAATAGAATCACAGAATATCCTGAATTGGAAGGAACCCACAAAGATCATAGAGTCCAACTCCTGGTCCTGCACAGGGGTCCTGTAGAACCCAAACAATCCTACCATGTCCCTGAGAGTGTTGTCCAAATGCTCCTTGAACTCTGACAGCCTTGGGACTATGACCACTGCCCTCCTGCATGGGGAGTCTCTTCCAAGTGCCCAACCACTCTCTGGGGGAAGAACCTCTTCCTAATACCCAACCTTAACCCTCTACTGACACAGCTCCAGCCATCCCTTGGGTCCTGTCACTGGTCCCAGAGAGCAGAGCTCAGCATCTGCCCCTCCACTGCCCCTCGGGAGGAAGCTGCAGACCCCAGTGCGTCTCCCCTCAGACTTCTCCATCCTGTGAGCTGGCTCCACCCCATGAGCTGCGGTTCAACTAAGCCCTGATAATTAGAGGCACAAAGGAAAGTGATAAAAATATAAGCATCCTGTTGATCCTGAGGTCCTTATACTGGGTGAATCTGCTGTATGCTATGCATATATTTAGGATAGTCCCTGGTAACTAGTTATTACTAGGAGCATTCAAACGTGTAGGCAACATAGTTGCTCATGTCTTTATGTTTTCAAACTTATTCACGTCAGTGCTCTTTCATTGTGTATGTTAGTCTCTGAGAGTAGTGTAACCATTCTTTTCTTTTTTGTCTTAATTGAAACATGTTTTTAGAACCTTTTAAGGTTGTTGCAGGTTTTCTTGTACGAAGGGATATTTTTAGTACTGCTGTCACAGTACTGCTGCTAAGTTTCTGTCACACTTTTACCACCAGGCCTGACTTATGATGAAGTAATCAGCTTTGTGCCACCACCGCTTGACCAAGAGGAGATGGAGTCCTGAGAAACTGCTCTCTTCTGTCTGTCCCACTTCACTGTGAAGGGAAGGCCTTTTCATAGGGACTCTCCAATTATTGTTCAAGTGCCTCATCACAACAATATTCTCCTTGGTGGAAGGGTTTTGTGTGTGTTGAATTGGGGAGGGAGGGGGGAGGGAAGAAAACTGAGTCCATGTAAACATGCTGCATGCTCTCTTGTATTCTGTGTACAGCCTGGGGCAAGCCTCTGGAGACCTGTTCTGACTGCACTTAGTTCTTCCGGAGTAACAGTGCACTGCTGGGGCAAGGTGGGGAAGTTGACGTTTAAGGGTTTGGTTACAATCATTGCCATTTATCAATTCTCCTACAACTAAGTAACCTCAAAATAATGAAAGTTGGTTTTATAGACTTAGAGAGTCCTGTTTTCTTCAGGACTGAAGGTGGGGTTAAGGAACATCCTTGTTCAGTACCAGGTGTCTGATTTACATCCAGATCTTCCTGGTACAGCAGAACGTAGAGGCCTTCCAATGCCTGATCCTTGGAACATGAAAAGAGTTTTTCTTGAAACTGTAAATAGGTTTGTGCCTTAAATGAATGGGAAGAGAGGGGAAAGGAAATCTCTGACCCATTGTTTTTGAGGGTGAAGGCTCCCAGATAGCCAGGCAGGAAGTCAATGTAATCAGGAAATAACTTTCTGAGGCAACAGCCTCAATACCCCTGGATTGGGTATTCCTGTGTTTTTCTGTTTTCCTCTCCTCTTGTTCTGAGGCTTCCCAGCATTAGCTCCCAAGAGACAGGGATTGGAGAAGATTCTTGCTAGCTACACGTTTGTGTATTCTGTTTCTTAGAAGGTGGTGTGTTTTGCATGTTGTAGCTGAATGTGCATGTAGAGCTGCTTGATTTTTGTCCTTATTTTTTGGGGATGGCACTGGGGCAGTTAAATCATCAGTGAAATGTTTACTGAGCACCTCAGCTGGTGCCATGAAATCACGGCACCCTTCCTCCTTTGCTGCAGCTCATTGGGAAATACCTGCCATTCAACAGGAAAGGAGATAATATATGGCATACAGAAACATGCCCCTTTTTCCTTGTTCTGACCTTCTCTTTGCAGAGAAGGAGAGCTTGGGCAGGAGAGTTTCTTGTGAGATAAAGTGTAAAAAACATTCTTTAAAGAAACAGCTATGGTATCTTGTGCCAGAACTTAACTTATTTCCTGAAAAGAATTTTTTTAGAAGTATTGGAATCCAAAGCAAAGAAATAAGCATGCATAAACACACAATCACCCTTTCACTGTCTATATCTATAAATATTTATATATATAAAACTAACATTAACCAGAAGTCTTTTTTTTTTTTTACCCTCTCAGATAAGAGCTTCTTGGCTGTTTTTTTAGCGGTTTGATCTCTGCCCAAGGAAATGTGAGAAGGGAATATGTTTGAATATAAACAGGGTTCAAATATTTTGTATTTTACAGGACTCTGCATGAGTGAAATGCCCAGAGTTAGGGACTGGCAGAAGGGAGGTTTCTCAGCACATTCATGTGCTAGAACTGTAGCTGGGGAGTTCAGGAGTCCAATTTTAGGGCTTCTGGAGGAGACATTTTTAGACATTAATTTGTTGCAGGCATCCTGTATGGGCAACTCATCACATTACTATGTATGTGAGGAGAAAGGCTTTTGAAATATTTTGTATTCTTGTTACCTGTGGGGCAGAGAAGAACCATTTGTATTGTTTTTACCCTGTGTTTGAAGGGGCAGCACAAAGGGATGGGACATGGATGACAAAGCCATTGATTCTTTCTAGGCTACTTCCCAGTGATCTCTTCAGGCCAAATATTTAATAAAGGTCTGGGCTGAGATGAAGAGAGTAGTTATATCTAGGATAAAACTCTCCACAGCCTAAAAATAATAAAGACAGAAAACCTCCCTTTTCTGTTGGACCAGCAGTCTGGGTATTCAGATGAAAATGTTGATATACTATGTAAACCTACAGCAAGACTATTTTTATCAGCCATTTTATGTGTAGATGCTATAGTGTGAGTTCATACGGAAATATTGCTAAAAATTTTTAAAAATATAGATGTTGTGCGTGCGTGTGTGTCTGTGCGCGTGTGTGAATGGCAATGTTTCATTCGGAGTCTGTCCCTAAGGGAGCCCATGTGGAATGCACTCCTGCTGTCAGTGCAATGCTGGTCAGCTGCCTGCAGACTGAGCAGGATGCTGCACTTGAAAGAAGAGATCTGCTATTTTGTTTCTATCCATGAATTTTGCTGTAATTGGTTATGCCAGATAAGATGTCACAATACCACTGGTTAAAAATAAAATTTATTTTTCAGATTTACTGCACTGATGGTACTTGCAAACCTCTTACACTAAAGTGTTCGTTTTAGCATGGTGTGAATTTCTCCCTTGTGCTGTAAGAGATCCTGTGTGTGATGGCGGGGGCCGAGGCCATATCTTGGTGGCTAACTCTGCTGACATAGAGTTGCTTGTCCTTATTTGTCCCAAGTGAATTCTTTGCTACAAAAGTAGCTTAGAGTCTGACTGTGAGTATGGGACACAGAAAAAAACCCCCACCTTTTATTATCTGTTTAGCGTAGGGAAGCAATAATTCAACACAAATAGACCAGCACTCTGCTGCTTACCTGGCACTGGGACCCTTACCCAGTACTACTGGTTTGTGCTTGTTTGCTATTTAAAAGTGATTTTTTTTTTTTTTCTTCTTCAGTTGCCATCTAGTTGGTGGTGGAAAGATCTGTACCACAGTGGAGCTTTTCCAACTCCTATTGTATATCAGTGCTACTCACTCAGAAGAACTCAAAGCTGTGTTCTTCACACTGACACAACCCTCAGTCACTGAAGTTCCCAGTCCATGATGAACCAGGGGGGTTGTGTTGATCCCAGCCGGGCAGCTGATCCCCACAGTGTGTTCACTTCCCTGCCACAGAGACGTGCAGCAGCTGATTTGAGGAAGTACAAAAAACGGTGAGGGGGGTGTTCTCTCAGCCCCATGAGCCTTCTTGTTGGCTTTTGCCATCTGTTGGCCTGGGTACAAACAGAAGAGAGGGGGTAAAAAGCCTAAACAGGACCAGTCATTTGTTGTTTTGTGGGGGAAAAAAATCCAAAACACCCAAGATGTACAATTCTAGAATGTGCTCAGTTACAATATATCCTGGTTAGCAAAAAAAAAACCCAAACAACCTAAAAATCGGAATTTAATTTGGGGGCGGGGGGATAAATGACACCTGTAAAATCAAATTACTCTCATGAAGGTTAACAGTCAGCGTGCAACCCTTGCAAATTGTTGTCCAACTATGCTCCAGTCAATGGTAGGGCCATCACAGGTAGGAACAACATACTGGGAGTTTGGGTAGGTCCATGATGAAATGTCTATTACCAGAAGGGAAGCAATGGTAAAAATTGTAACTTATCAACATGTCCAGCTGCACTGTAGAGGTACCTGGAGAAGAATGTATGGGTCATGCCATCACTTCTTTTGGTGGATGTGGAGTTAGGTGTGCAGTTAGATTTGACCTTCAAGACTATCTTTTCTAACTGCAAGGTTTCTATGATTCTAAAATTTGCTATTTGATTTGGTCACTTGAATTAACTCATCCTTTTACAGCCCAGACATGCTGCAGCAATTTAGGACTCCTTAATTGCTTACTGATTAGCTTCATGTGCACAAGTAGTTGAGCAAGAGTTGCATTCATCAAATAACCAAGGAGGTACGTGTTTGCTTATGGACCAGGAGTTTTTACTGTGACACTTCTTGCTCACAGGTGTATTTATAGAACCCAGCCATGCAGATGGTTCATTTCCTGACTGTGCTGTTGCTACAGCCAGGGCTGATTTACACAGATATGCATAAGCAGGGTTAAAATACTACCATAGTGCCTTGTCCCTAGGTTGTATTTTATAAAGCAGCAGGCTGTATCTGTGGCTGTAGCATGGCTACTTGAAGAACATAAGGGTCGGTGCTGATAGGTATTGCAGTGGTTGCCTGTAAGCAGGGACGATGACTCTTTCCCAAGCCACTGATGGTGCTTTTTGTGTATTTTTCATTTGCCAGGTAACTTGGCTCTAATTTTGCTGCATGGATAGTCTTGGAGCAGGGACACCTTTGCAGATTACCTGTAGGGAAGGAGCAGAGGCTCTAGGCAGGGTGGAGGGCTGGTGGGGTAGAACACTGTGTAAGCAGCTGGGCTGGCTTGGTAAGGCACAGCTTAGTCACTTCCTTTGGGAAGCGTGTAGGATGCACCTACCTCCTGTGTGGGAGCCCTGCCTGAGCCTCTTAATGTTGGAGCAAAATACTGAGGTGCCATCTGCCTACTAGGAATGGACCTTCTTGTGGACTGGGTTTGCTGGTCTGGCCTGTTCATGGTAGGCATAGCAGTGAACCTGGACTCTGTGCTGTCCGTGAAGATCCCAAGAAATGGTTAGACCTGCTATGGGAGATGAAACCAGACGCAGCAAAGCCTGGGGAACAAACAGTTCTCAGGATGTTCCCACCTCACAGCTGCTCCTGAACCTCCTCCCAACAGTCACTTGGATATAGGTGGAGAACCTCAGCCTACTTTCAGCACATCCCTGCGCTGCTGGGAAGCTGGACTTCGAAGAACATTGCCGTCGCCTTCTTGCTCTTTTATGGATGTAACACTGTGTGTTCATTGTCATGAGGCTGGAGCCGTCCTTCATCAGCTTGAAAGAAGAACGTCCCTGCTTGTCTGACAAGGTGCCGTGGCTTGTCCCTCAGATTCCCCAGCTTAACAAGTCCTTACTCATCCACTTGTTTGGAGGATGGATTTCATGAGACCCCCTCCAAGCTGTGTGAGGATATTTCTTGGCTTGTGAAGGCAGGAGGGTAAGAGCTCCAGGTGACAGGGGCTCCCAGGGGTGTGCCTGAGCAGGGTTGGGTGCTCCACTCCTATAGCAGAGCCCAGAGGCACCTGTACAAGACCGAGGCGTGTCGGGAAACCTGATGCCTCACCTCTGCCAATGTGGAGGCGGAGGGAGGAGGGCCAAAAGACATGTCTCTTCACGCTCACAACAGCTGAAAACAGAGAAGGAAACTCGCTGGAGCCTTTTTTACCAGTGCAGGAGGCCTCGCGGTCGTGCTCTTACCCCAGAGACCCTCCCGTACTCCAGTACTCTGGGGGGGTGGCACTCCCACACCCGTCGGGCGATGAACATCGCAAGGAGAAGAGGCTTTTACAGACAGGAGGTGAACAACACCCTCTGGGAGCTACCCAGGAGATACTCATCCCTCCACCCGTTGGGGTCTGGAGCCTACGGCTCAGTGTGGTGAGTGGGGTTCTGCTTGCGCTGCCAGCAGCAGCATGGGGCGAACTAGGGGTGTTCCCTGCCAGGGGGAAAACAAGGAGGTGCTTAGCAACACCTCTCCATTAAGAAAGGACATTTGCATGTGTGATGGAGGCAGTTTGTCTCTTGCTCCAGTGCAGACAGTGGGCTGGAGACTTGGTCACTTGAAGAAAATGTTTCCCCCTGTGGTCATCTCGGGTGGGCAGAGAGGGGACTGCACAGACATGGCAGCAAGGGGTGCCAAGCAGCTTGGGGTGTCACCTCAGCATTGGGGTCAGGCAGCTTTTTGAGCTGCTTTGGTCTTGAGCTTGCATGAAGCAACCACACAAGGGAAGGGAATACCTAGGTGTCTGAAAGAAATTTTAGATGATAACAGAGGTGGGTACTGGAACAAGGGATCCTTGCTTCTTAGTCCAAGATAGCTGATGCTGGGCTGCCTGGACTAAGCAGCTGGACAAATACCACCCCTGCTCTGATACTGCTTCCACCTTGAAATCATGAAGTAGATAGACGTTACTGTAAACCAGGATCAGTAACAGGCAGGGACTTCCTTCATGGCTGATAATAATCCCCAACCTATGAGAGAGCAGCATGAGCTGCGGTTAATTATTCAGCTGGGCAAAGGTGCCTGTAGTGAGAGCAAGCTGAAGTCAGACCTTGCTTGGTTTACACTGACAAACTGGAGGAGACAGGCAACTCTGAAAGATAGGTTAAATATGAAGCAGTCTGTGATAGTATCTGAACAGAGCCCTTGTTTCATAACATGCTGAGCTAAAAATAAAAAAGAAAGGTATATCCCTTTTCATAGGTGTTGGGCAAAGTCTGTCCTACTGCTGTTATAGCACTAATCCTGAAACCCTCATTCCCAGCTTCTGTCCTTGTCCCCTGGCTTTCAATTTATAGACAGGTGCTCACTTTTGCTGTCCAGGTGCGTTTACACTTCGGAGATGCTTAAGTTAGGCCTGCAAAATCAGGAAAGACTATATTTTTTTATATTTCTACAGTGTTCTCAGGTTTTTACCACTGAGGAAAGCAGGAAGGAAAACAAAGGACAAAAAAAGGAGGAGAGAAATCCTTTCAAAGTTTCCTTCCCTACCCAAAAAAACCAAACATCAGCAAGACAAATCTTTACTGGTCCATGTGAAAGTCTCAGCTGCTCTGGAGCTCCCTCTCCCAAGGAGAGAGGGAGGAAAAGGTGTTGAAACAGTCTGGGTGTCCGTGGTGGTGGTAGTAGTATTGATTTGACTGCTCAGCACGGAGGGCTTGGTGCCAGTTTCTGTACAAAGCAGAGGTGGAAGCATGTGGAGTTAGGATTTGCTGTCCTCTGCTGGGAATTGCTGGGAAACTTTCCTATTGCAGTGTTATTCAGCAGCTGGCTTTTACACGTTCTTGAGCAACTGAGAAAGTAACTCAGGAGAAACAGCAAAGTCTTGTTTCTTCTCTTATTAATTTGCCAAAATCTGTAGCAATTTGGCTTCCAGCTGAATGTAATTGGGAAAGAAGAGCCTTCTGGCCCCTTCAATGCTGGTCTTGTTGATCTCTGCCAGCCGAGGCAAGGACGCAGCATGGCCTGCCCCGTGTCATCCCAAACTGTATCTGTTCATTAAATCTGTGCTGGGAAGAACATGACGGGCTCTCTCAGCTGCGTCAACTGAATTAACTGTGCTTATGGCAAGGGTGTGACTAGTGCTGTCTGTGCTGTGCCTGCTGAAGCTCCATCACCCCGCTCTCCTGTGTTGAGAAGTGGGGTTAGATGCTCTGCACGTCAGCAGCTGGGAAGGCAGGTAAGAAGATTAGGAAATCTGCCTTGAATTTTGCAGAAGTTGATTGACTATCTAGTCTGAGTGCCTTCCTCTTATTTCCCTCGCTCCTCAGAAAACTTTATGCAGTGCTGTCCCCTCTGCTGACATCTGCTGAAACTGAGACAACTCTTCACTCAGAGGCCTCCTACGATATCCTACAGCATCTTCAGTGCTGAAACTGCCTTGTGTAGCTGTTCCTGCACTTCCTTTGCTTTTACCAACTGAATGGGGAAGTGTGCTTGTGCAAGGCTGGAGGATACAGCTAAAAGTCATGGGATTGAATATGATGATTTATAGCCTTTCTGTTTCACAGGAGATGGGATAGGGATTTAAGAAGCTGTGGGAACTGCTCTGGAAATCCACAGCACTATTTGGCAGGAAAGACCCTTTTTTCCATGTTTTTTCATGTTTGCCTCTTGGGAGGGGTCAAGGAGGGGCTGAGGCACTGCTGAGAATCCTGAATTACATCTGAGGACCTCTGAGGACCTCCCTTCCCACTCGGAACCTGGGACCTCCTTTGCAGACTGAGCAAAAAGCCTTCAGAAGAAGAGAAACTGTCACAGGATTACCATGTCTAGCCATAAACAGCAAATGAGACCAGAGGGAATAACACATCATGTCTGTGGTGATGGCTGTTGTACCCTGTTTTAGCTTTACAGAAGAATCTCATTTTCAGCCAGACCTGCTTTTACACAGAAGCATATGTGTAGCATCAAAGATCCTGAATACAGCAGAATTAATTCCAGAAGCCTGTATTTTTAATGTGTGACATCCACTATCTCCAGGATACAGTGAAGGCACTGGCCTACATTAAAAGACAAGAGCCTCCAAGCAGATGGCAAAGCAAAAATTACTTTATTCCCTTATCTCCTTGCATTAGAGAAGAAGGCAGAGTTAGAACTAATTCTGAACTTCAGCCATTTGTGTTTCCCTCTTCTCACAGCTCTGTCACCTCCAGCTTCTTTCTGCAGGTTATAGGGAATAAAGATGAGCCCCTTATACTTGCCTAGGTATCCCACCTAGTCATCCAAAGAGCAGAGGCTGTGGTCTGCTGCCCAAAGCCCCACAGCATCACATCTCCTGTGCAGAGCTCCACGGGGTTTCTCAAAAGGCCTTTCTTTGCTGTTCTTCTGTGAGCACAAGTTCTCTAGATGACTTGTGGGATTACAAAATTTGTTAGAACATACTGCCAATGTCAGAATTGTTTTTTATTTGTCTGCTGCAGTTCAGCCATAGACAAGAAGACAGGGGAGAAAGTGGCTATCAAGAAACTCTGCCGCCCATTCCAGTCAGAGATCTTTGCCAAGAGAGCATACAGGGAGCTGATGCTGCTGAAGCACATGCAACATGAGAACGTAAGTACTCATTTCTCTCTCTTCCTGCTGATATGAGGGGTATTTTCTTGCCACCTGGGAGCAAGTCCTTTCAGGTGGCATCATGTTTATTTTTATATATAGAGAGAAGTATGGATTATTTTAATATAGGCAGAGATACTGACATTTGGCATGTGCAGGCAGTTTTGGGGTTCAAGTGCTAACTGTGCTGTACCCAGTTGTCACTAGGCTTAAGCAGATGTGTAATGGATGTTACCATGTATTAGTAAAAGAAAAACATTTGTGCAGCATCAGTGAGGAGTCCTTGGATTCTTCAAATGGAGTTCTGTGTTCACCCAGATGTATGTGCCAATGGAGAGCTACTACCTGAGTCCCACGTGCACAGTAAATGCTTTCCAGGTTTAAGTGTGGACTTCTCTCCTCCATCAGGTCATTGGGCTGCTTGATGTCTTTACCTCCACTGCCTCCTACCAGGGATTCCAGGACTTGTAAGTTTGGAGTTTTTTGCTCTATCTGGACTTAGCCATTGCCCAAGACACCTGTGTCTTAGCAGCAGGATAACAGATTGGGTTGAGCTGCAAGGGGGCTGGACTAAAAGCCAGACATCCCCAAATAACATAGGGAATCAAAAGCACATGTCAGTTCCCATGGCTAACACACCCAGAATACATAAATAGATCATATGCCATGCTCACAGCTGAGAGACCACAGAATGTACAGACCAACCTATGTAATGAGGATGTGTTACATTCCATGGCTATCACATGCAGTGTGATCCATGCTGTGTGACTGCTGAGCTAACTGGCTGCACTCAAAATGGGATAAGTATTGTTTGTTCATCAGGCCCCAGGGCAATTAAACTGGGAATTTTAAAGATCTGGCTTTCTTTTCATCTTGATTCCAGCTGTTCGTTTTTGGTTGGTTTTTTTTGTTTTTTTTTTTTTTTTTTTTTTTTTTTTTCCCTCAGTCTTTATGGTCAGGATGGACAAGTCATTTTCTCTTCCCCATTATTGGGGATGAGCACCATGTGCCTGGATTTGGGGGTTTGTCTCATGGCTGGGTATTTAGCAGCCTGCAGGAAAAGCATTTGAAGGTTCTCTCAGAGCAGTTCCTGCAGGAAGACTGTCAACTAATTGGCAGTCTCAGCAGGCAGATACTGAAGAAAGCTAGATGTTGTCTTTTGAGTCAGGGCAGGAGAACATTACAAAGACAAATTTGGGAGACAGTACAGTTTTGCTGTGTAAGATGTTTCAGCTTCTGGGTGGTGAAAGGCTGTCTGGAACTGAACATCACTTGAGGTCTAAAGTAAACTAATTCAGGATTATGAAGATCCTTGTTCTTACTGGATGTCAGATATCTGACTTAAGAGGAGGAAGAAGAGCAATTTTCTGAGCAGGTTGAAATCCCAGCTTCACTGCAGGCTGTGCTAGTTAGCCAGGAACACTGTCACAGGAACTCATTTTAGTTCATTGCATAGCCAAAAAATCCCCAAGGCTATCCTTGTCCCCTGCGTTTTTCTTCTAGACTCAGGGCCTTTCTTACTACCTTTTAGCTACCTGGTGATGCCATACATGCGGACAGATTTACAGAAGATCATGGGACATGAATTCAGTGACGAAAAGATCCAGTACCTGGTCTACCAAATGCTGAAAGGGCTGAAGGTAGGTGGGTCTGGAGGAGTTTTTAGTGACTTCCTCTGTCTCCTCTGTATATCACCTCTGGGTGATATATAGATATATATAGATATAGATGTATAGATGTATATCTATAGATATATCTATAGATATATAACTAAACTCCCAACACTGTATAGGAAGATGTGGGGGTGTTATGACATCACCTAAGAACAGATATTGGCTGTTGAACTGCTCTTGTGCCTGCACACTGTGACTGCTTGTTTACGTCAGCTGGGTATCAAAGCAATGAGCAGCCATACACCTTGCAATTGTTTTTCTACAGCAGCAATTGCATTGCTCTTTGACTTGCCAAAACCCTAGCAAAACTCTACACTGAGAGTGAGAGACTGGCAGCAACAGGAGCTTCTGCTGAAGGAGCTTCTTCATAACAGAGGCTCTCAGGGGAGAAGACAGAGGGACTGATTTTCTATTTAGTAGAATAAGGAAGGAATATGCTTCTGTAACTGGCTTTGAGAGAGCAGAAAGCAGAAAGTTTTCATGTTGACTGCTGTAAACCTGATGCCTTTGATAGTTTGAAGCTATTGTTGTACTTGCTCTAAGGAACTATTGCTTCATTCCTCCTCTTCTGCTCTATGCAGCTTCTTCAGACTGCCAATAGCATTGCAAATACTATCAGCAATTCAGGGCAGAGAGTGCTTTTTAAACTGCTGCCCTGCAGTAGCAGGATGCAGAGTTGTGTTCTCAGTAAGTTCTGGTTTGTAGCTCTCATTTCTCTGCTGGAGAACAGAAAGTCTTGTCTGCTGGTGATCACATTGTGGCTCCTCTTTTTATTGCAGTATATTCATTCAGCCGGCATCATACACAGGGTAAGTTCATGTTTGCTCTTACTCTGATTTTTGTCTGTTTGAGAAACACAGAATGGTCATGAAGTTAATAAATTCTTAAACATTGTTTTACTAACAGCATTGTCTGCTCTGGAGTCTCTTGCATCCTATACCCTATACATGTTTGAATTTGCTCATTTGTACAGCATTTTGAGGAAATGCCATATTTTCTGATGAGCTCAGAAGCATTTTATGATGCTTCATGAATTAAAACTGTTTCAGAAAAAATAAAACAGTAATCTAAAGCCGTACAGCATAGCAGGCATGGTATCTTTGCTGAATGGATACTTGATATTTGGGATGTTATGGGACCCCATCAAAGGCAAGCAGAGGTTCAGCTGAGCCTTGTGTTGATGTGTTGCAACTCAAAGCAGACATATTTTTCTGCTCTTGTCTGTTGTAGGACCTGAAGCCAAGTAACCTGGCTGTGAACGAAGACTGTCAGCTAAAGGTAGGTGGAAAAACACCACTTGGGAAGCATGTAGCATATCAGATCATGGAGGAACTGCTCTGCCTGCAAGAACTTGGTACTGTCATGTTTCCTCTTGCCTTCTCAATTCAAGGTGTTTTGTTATTTGGCAACTGCCGGCAGTGGGAAATACCTCCTGATGTAACTTGCTGAATCAAGGCACAAAACTTCAAATGAACATCCTGTCACTGTAATTCCTGCGGCATGGCAGTTTGTAATGACTTCCTAGATAAATTCAATACTGATGAGCAACACTTGCATTAGGTGAATGATCCCTGAAGGGTAACTGGATTCAACCACAGTTGCCCTTTGGTTCTTATTGACATTATGGTTGTGATTCCAGACAAAGTTATTTTTAGTATTGCTCTGAAGGGTTTGCTTGCAGTTTGCTGGTGTGGTGCTCTAGCATGTATTTTCTGTAATGTATATTACAGGGAGTGGCTTTGTTGCCCGTAAAGGTTAGGTCAAGCTTGTTCATCTTCAGTATTGAGGGAGTATCCTCTGTCAGCTGCAAGGTGTTCTTATAGGAAAGGGTGAGTTGCGGTGGCCTGGGAGCATGCCTTCACCACTAGGTCATAGACCAACTCAAATAAAGCACAGACTTGAAACTTAAGCTTCAAGAAAGAAAGTGACCTTCCAGATAGCACAAAGCCCTGATCCTTTCAACAGAGTCTTCTCACAACTGGTTTTGCAACTGGCTTGCAATTTACAGTGGAATCAAGACAAACCTGTTAATTCTTTGAACCGTCCGGCGGCTGGCTGTGGTGTAGTTGGAGCTTTGTTATTATCTGATTGGATCTGCTTAATTTTCTCTTAGAAGTGGAGTCTTACTTGCCCATAGGATTTCTTTTTTCTTTCCTGCCCTTCCTTCTTCATCTTCCTTTGCAACTGCAGATTTTGGATTTTGGCTTGGCCAGACATGCTGATGCTGAAATGACTGGCTATGTGGTTACACGATGGTACAGAGCCCCAGAAGTCATCCTGAACTGGATGCATTACAACCAGACAGGTGAGCAGCCTTGCCTCTGCAGCGTGACTATCTGATGACAAGCCTGGGGATCCTGCTGGGTCAAACCTCAAGTAATCGTCCAGTTGTTTTTCTTCTTTATCATCAGTGTTCTGGGAGCGGAGCAGATCCAAAAGGTGTTGCACAACTCCCAGAGCTAGTGCTTGCAGGAAATGATGAAAACAGAAATTTTGGCAGCATTGAAAGAACGGAGGAGAATGGGAGTGACATTTAAATCAGTCCCTGCTGCAAGCAACAACAAAAGCAACAGCCCCAGCAATCATTGCTACCTTTTCATTGCCCTTTTTTTTCCTTTTTTTTTTTTCCCCACGCTCTTGCCCCCCCCCCTCTTTTCTCTCTGAACAGTGGATATCTGGTCTATTGGCTGTATTATGGCAGAAATGCTGACTGGGAAAACGCTGTTTAAAGGAAAAGACTGTATCCTTTCAAACGGAACCTTTTCCTTGAGGGGAGTAATAATTCTTGGTGTGTGCAAAAGGGCTTTTTAATGAATGAGAAAAATAGGTGTCAGTCTGGTTTACCAGGAGGTAATCACAGGGACCAATCTTTTTGGTGAGGAAAGCAGAAGGTAAGAGGGGACCTTAGAAATACACCTCTGTGCTGGCCATGTGTGTCCTACCTTGCGGTTAGAGGTCTACCACTTCAACTTTGCATGGCTGTAGCTCCATTCCCAAACCTTTGCATATCCCCCCAAGACCATGGACATGTGTCCTGGCATAGCTGTGCCAGAAAAATTATCTGTTGATGAAAATGGCATGCTAGGAAAAAAAGCCTTGGAGTGCTTTTTGCCAGTCTAATGAACTTGTGTGCCTCTTGGGTTGGTATTATAACAAACTGAGCTGAGCTGTGGGAGGGTGTCCAGGGCTCAGTCCTCTATGGACGATCTTTAACACAGCTTGCCAGACCTGGATCAACTGACTCAAATCCTGAAAGTAACGGGACACCCAGGAGAAGACTTCTTGGAGAAGCTGGAGGATAAAGCGGTAAAAAAGTTCACTATGGATTTAGGTCCTGCTGGCAGAGATGTGGTGGGGAAGAGGTTAACATGTCTGTGTTTAAGATGGGAGAGGTGCTGCCTCTACAGCAGCAGTGAGGAAGCACAACAGCAGCCTTTTCCCCTTGGCAAGGAAGACCTTTCTCTGCTAGTGGCACATCTGATGGACTTGGTGTGGATTGCAGGAACTCCTGTGTGAGGTGCCTGATGCCCCAGCAAACCACCAAGCTTCTCTGTTCTCTAGCTTGGCTCTTAAAACAGAAGTATTTCTGTATCTCAAGTGATAAAAATACTTCCTTGTCAACTTCTCACTAAAATGTTACATCTGGGATGATTTGCTGTTCTCTCCACTTGCCTTTGCTCATTGGAGCCATGAGATCTGAAAGTTGTATTTCACATCCCCTCACACTTGTGCAATAATTGTGCTTTCCTTGCTCTTTCAGGCTAAGAGTTATATCAAGTCCCTTCCTAAAATCCCCAAGAAGGATTTGTCTGTGCTTTTCCCTAAAGCAAATCCTCAGGGTAAGTCATCTCCAGCATTTTTCACGAGTTTCCACAGTTGGAAAAGAGGCAAGCTGATCACCACAGCCTCAACTCTATTTCTCCTTTTTCTTATAATACTTATAATTTCTCCCTTGCAGGTTGTGTCCCTGCCCCTCCCAGGGCAAATATGTATCCATTAAAAACAAAATGATTCTTTATTACAATAGCGATGTTTTGCTATTCTTGGCCATTTACTACTTTTTTTTTTAAATTTTAAAATGACAGTCTGTAACATACAATATTTATGGAAGAGATAAACTTCTGACTTCCGTCTTAACAAACCAGAAGAAAGCAGATGCTGGATATAACAGGATGTCCTGGTTCTGGGTTGCAATTTAAGAATTAGGGCAGTTGCATATATCCGTTCCAATTAGTATGAAAGTTGGGATGAATTTTCGCTGACATTAGCTTCCTGAAGTTGTTGTTGTTGTAGCCAAGCAGGTGACGATATGATCAGTAGCACTTAGATAAACAAGCCAGCTCTTCTTTGTTCATTATTAATTCCCAGCCTAACATCTAAGGCACCGTGGGCTTTGATAAAGTGCTACAAGACCCCCACAGTCCACTCCAGTACTTTTTTTTCTTAGTACAGTGTAGATCCTGGTGGTTGAATACCTGAATCTAGTGATCCTTAACAGACAGGCAATGTTAATTTATAATTTTCAGAGTCAAAACTTTGCAACTCCACTGACAGGAGCTCCTCACTGCCTTGACTGGGTTGAGGAATCTCTTTCATTTTCCAGTCTGGAGATGCTGTACTGGAAATACTAGTCCCATCAACTTGCAGGGTTCATGCACATGATTCCTCTTCTCCATAGCACGTTGGTTAGCCCTGTTGCCATCTTCTCCTACAGCTGTGGACCTGCTTGACAAGATGCTGCAGCTTGATGTGGAAAAGCGCCTTACAGCCACAGAGGCATTGGCTCATCCCTTTTTTGACCAGTTCCGAGACGCTGAGGAGGAGACAGAAGCACAACAGTCCTATGATGATTCCCTGGAACATGAAAAGCTTTCAATAGATGAGTGGAAAAGTAAGAAGTTTATTTTCTTGGAAGTTCCTGTCTAGCATGGGACTTTCCTACCCCTTCTCTCTTTCCTGTGCACGTGCTGAGTAAGGCTGTGATTGCCTGCTCATGCCTCAGTGGTAGTGCACATCTCTTACCTTGCTGTTGCTTTTCTTCATTCAGCAAAGATCCCTTCAGCTCTTCAGGTGGACTTTTTTTGCCTCTCTCATTGGTCTCTTCCAACTCGTACCTGTCAGTGAATACCTCCTTTCTACACATATAACATTCAAGCTTTCATTTGGGTCCTCTAAAATCTCACATTCATGGTTATTTTGTTATGTTTTTCAAGAGCTTATTTACAAGGAGATCTTGTCCTTCAGTCCCATTGCACGGAAGGATTCCAAGAAGCAAAGTGGGATGTCATTATAGTGACTGATGCAGCTGTGGCTGGGATTCACTTCTCCTTGATGACAGATGGGATTTATTCCACACTGCCTTGCTGGTGGCCATCGTTTGGCCTGTGGGACTTCTCTGTGTGCCAACACAAGGATGGCACTACGCTGTGGGTATTGAACTTTGTTCTACCAAAAGGGAAGCACTCCAGAGAGTTTTCAACATAAAAGATAAATATAGTCTTGTTGAAACTTTAAGTGGGAGAATTTTACCTGATGCGGGTTTTTTTGTTGTTTTGTCTGGTTGGTTTTTGTTTGGTTTTGTTGGGTTTTTGTTTGTTTGGGGTTTTGTTTGTTTGTTTTTACCCCTGTATTTGTGTATTTGTCCACTTGAGAGAGAAGGGGTTTCATTCTTTCTCATTAGTCTTTTCAAGCACAGGGTTTAGTACAATAAGGTAAAGAAAAAGTTAAAATTGATTGGGAAGTGAGTCCCAAGCAAAACGACCAGAAAGAGTGACATTCAGCATAACAAAACTTAATCCAATCTAACTCTGACTGTGTCCTCCTTCCCTGAGCAGTTACACTGCATCCAGCATAGCAAGGCTGCTAGGATAGTGTCAGCTTCAGGCCACCGTGGGAATGCAGTTGATCATGGGATCAGTCTGTGTTCAGAGCAGCTCCAAACTCATGCTATAACTCTGCTCAGGATCTTCCCCTCTGGAGAGCCACTGCCGCTTCCTCTCCCCTTTCCCCTTCCTCCTCCCCCCACCCCCGCTTGTTTCATTCCCTGGGTTTTGATTAGTGCTGTCTCCTCACTGCTAGTTGCAAGCACAGCCTGGGAATTCAAAGCTGCTTCCCATACTGGTAGACTGGGTATCCCAAGGAGCTATACAACTTAGTTTGAAGATGAGTCTGCAGGAAGTTTTCCAGCCTTTGCTGAAACTGGTGTATCTGCAGGTCCATGGCTTATTGATACAGTCATTAGACAGTTCAGTGCCAGGCAGGTACATCTGTTGGTTGTGATAACCCCTTTGTACTGCAACATCTTCCCTATGATGATCCGTCAGGTTCAGCCAGTCATTCCAAAGTCCATCCCAAGGGATTAGAGAAAAGTGTCTTCTCTTCAAGTATCAGGGCTCAGAGCACATAGTCCCCAGGGCTAGAGAAAAGTATTTGTTGAGGGGGCCTGTAAACACAGTAGTACATGCAGTGTTTCTCAGATCTCCTCCTCTTCTGTAGCCGCTGAGTTATTTTGGTTTGGTTCAGCGACGTTGCTTTCAGTACTCTCTAATTTTCTTAAGTAATGTTTGGTTTTGCTGTACAGACCTCAAGGAAGGGAAAACTGCAACATTACCAGAATTTTCTGATCTCTCTTCACTGGGAACAGGAAACTGTTGTTGTGTTCCTTGGCAGTCTCTCTGTTGCAGCTCATGCCATGCACCACTTGGGATAACCCTTCAGTGCCTGCAGCTTTTTGATAGGACAGTATTGATGTTATCCTGCTGTAGCTGCACAGATGGTCCCTGCTGATAGGATGTGGTTTCTCTTGCCTCATATCTCTCTGGATCATTGTACAAGCCTTTTGCCTCACTTGTCTCTTAAGTAGGGACTTCTTGCTAAGTGTGAGATGACCTGCATTTTCCTTGAATGGCCAGAGGGAGAAGTTCTAGCTGCATCTGTCAAACAGCAATTGGAATATTGTCCTTTTGAACCTGGTGTCTGACTTGGCTGCCATGTTTGAGGTGTCTTGGCTGCTGCTTTCATTTGAAGCAACATCACTCGTTTGGCACTTGTACCCTTTAAAAACTAGGAGAGCGAAGAAATTGAATTAACTTGCCTCTGGGAGTTGAGAGAAGTTCAGAATTTTTGTGGTTTTTTTTTTTTTTGAAGTAACACAGTAGTTCCCCAGCTTTAATATAAAACTAAACGACAGAGAACTTGTTTTGATGTTGGAACACATGGTCCCCAGTCATCAGAGATGTCTGGACATCTCTGTGCATGAGTCATCCTACTGAACTTATTATGGAACCTAATGTGATTATAATAAGCTAACTCCAGCACAAATCTAAGAGTATAAAGTTTCAAAACTGGGGTCAAAATGAAAGTTTGCAAAAGTTCATCATATTTAAGAAAGACACTAAAAGTGCTAAAAAAAAAAAAATAAAGTAAACCCCACTGTTAAAGTTCTCACATAAAGAAGGAAAATCATAGAATCTTAGAATGGCCTGGGTTGGAAGGGAGCTTAAAGAACCACTCCTTCTAATCCCCCTGCCATGGATAGGGACACCATCCACTACACCAGCTTTCTCAAAGCTACATCTTACCTGGTCTTGAATACTTCCAGGGATGAGGCAGCCACAGTCACTCTGGGCAACCTGTGCCAGGGCCTCATCACCCTCACAGAGAAGAACTTCTTTCCTAATACCTAATCTAAACCTACTCTCTTTTAGTTTGAAGCCATTCCCCCTTGTCCTGTAAAAAGTCTCCATCTTTCTCGTTGGCTCTGTTCAGGTACTGGAAGGCCACAATGAGGTCACCTGCAGCTTCTCTTTTCCAGGCTATATACTGTTCTCTCAGTCTTTGAAGTTGCTCATCACTTATTGAAATGATTTTATTTATTGTTTAACTAGGAAGCAAATGCATCTATAGATTGTGGTTTAGATTTTTTTAATCCTTCATGGCTAGGACCATACTGTTGCACAACTGTTTTTTGGGGGTTAAGTGAGATCCTGTGTAAAACAGTGAGAGTATTGGGACTTTATTTCTAAATCTTTGATACATTATTTTTCATGCAGGACAAGAACAGATTATTATTTATTTTCAAGTTCTGATACAGGAATCGTAGATTTGTAAAAAAGCATACACTTTATGTACATAGTATACACTTAAAAGGAGACATGTAAGATTGTTCAGCAGTAACGAACATGTTTTCCCATGCTTTTAAAGCTTCAAAAAGCTCTAGTCCTACCTGAGACTTTGCAAAACAGGCTTGTCATAGACTGGCTGCTCTCAGATTCCACGGTTAACATACCTTAAGAGACAAAAGATCTAAAGTTGGACTGTACATGAGAGAAAACAGCATTTTTTCCTTCTAAGATAGTTAATTCTATAAATTCAGATGGTAATATTATGCAATACTCTGCACAGAGTGGGAGGTGGAGCATACATATGCCCAAGTATGTGGTACACTCTATAAAAAGTGTGGGAGCCTCTGCAGTTCCTTTCTCCCCACTTAGCTGCAAATTTAACTTCTTGCTTGTTCATTCCTCTCCGTCCTTGTACCCGCTCACACTTCTGCACGTTAGGAGGCCTTCTGGACCTTAAGTGTTGGTCTAGAAAATAAATACAGGCTCTTACTATTTACATTGTTTATGTTGCTTGTTTAGGCGAAGAGTGGCAGAAACAAAGCCACAGGTTCCTTGGCACCTGGTAATGCTCCAGGACGTTTTATGGGATCCCATGCCTCCTGCAAATAACTGGGTGTAAGATGAAGACACTCCAATGAGTCTGGGACAAAAATCCATCTCCCGTGGCCTTGGGGCCACCGGCTGCAAGACACCGCCTAGGATGATACCCTAGCTCCCAGACAAACTCCAACTGCGAGGCTGATTGCGGGGAGAGGGGGAGGCGCGGAGCGGGGGCAGTGGTCTCCGGCCGCCTGGAGCGTTGGAGGCGGGTGCCGGGAGGCCGCGGTTCCCCGGCACTCTCTGCCCCGTCAGGCGCGGAGGTGGTAAGGGGCGGCAGCACTTTCCTAAGCCACGAGGTTCGGACCCCCCACCTTTCCGTCACCGCAAGCCGCCGGGGGCCTCCCGTTCAGTGCGGCCCGAGCGTGGGAAGGGACTGGGGAGGGGCGGGCAGTGCCTGCCCGCGAGGGAAGCGGAGCGAGGAGCCCTCTCCCCTGCCTGGCCGCTGGCTGCCGCCTTTCCCCACCGTTCGGCCGGCCCGCGTTGCCGCCACCACCACCGCCGCCTCCATCTTGAGCGTGTGTCCCCTGCTCCCTCCTCCCTCGGCCCCCCTCCGCCTCCACAGCACCGAGAGCGTCGGGGGCGCTGGAGCCCGGGGGAGAGGTGAGGGTGGTAAGGGGCGAAGCTGCACCGGGACCGGAGCGGCAGCGGCGGGAGCAACGGCGGCAACGGCATGAGAAGGCGGCGCTGAAGAGACGGCGATAGCTGGAGCGGACGGAGCCGACATCTTGTGCCCTCCCCTCCCGCCGCCAGCTCGGTGAGCCCGTCCGCCCCAGGGAGGAGGGGAGGGGGAGGCGGAGAGGATTAAAAAAGAAAAAAAAAAAAAGAAAAAAAAAAAGGAAAAACAACAAAAAAAATTCTCCTCATAGGAGGCGGCGGCAACGGTGGAGACGCCGCGCCCGCGGCGCGCTGAACCGGCCAGGTAAAGCGCTGCGTGGCAGACCGCGACACCCTTCCTTCAGGGGGTCTCTCCTCCCTCACAACCCCGCGCCAGGGTCGCGGGAAGGTGACCGGGCGGGCGGGAAAGAGCTGGGGGAGGACGGTGAGCCGCAACCTGCGGGCCCTTTCTGCGTGCCCGCTCTGCCCCCGCGCGGAGGGAGCGGCCCACGGACCCTCGCGGAGGAGGGGGCGGCAGTGGCGAGCGCCTGGAGACGGGGAACGGACAGCGCTGTGTCAACCGACCCCCCCCCCTTTGTCGCCATCTTGGCCCCCCCTTCTCCGCGGCTTCGCGGGGGCACCGCCCACCTTCTCTTACGCTATTGGCTCAGGCGGGGCCAAGCGCACCCCCCTTTAGTCCCGCAAAGTCTTGCGTTGCTGTTGGTTTTGGAACTGGGATGTGCGGTGGCGACAGCCAATCGGCTTCCAGCCCTGCCGCCCTGTCTCTCACTCTCCTCCGCCCTGGCCCCTCTCCCTGGAGACCGTTCTCGTTCCTCGTGGAGCGGCGCTCCCGTCTGGGCATGGCCCGGTGCTGGGCAACGGCGGGGGTCGTCGCACGCACCCGCCGTGACTTTTCCTCTTCCGAGATCGGCTTCATTTTTGTCCGAGATCCTGCTGTGCCTTGACCCACATCGCTGGCTGCTACTGGAGTTCCCTGCAGGAATCCTGTGTCCCTCGCTGCACAGGATAGCTCCTGAGAGGAGCTCCCGTCGGCACCTGACAGCCCATGGCACGTCATAGTTCCCTCAGCTGCTGCTGAGGCCAGACACAGCACATGGCACACACTATTTGTTGCTGAGCCGAGACGTTACCTTAAACTTTATCCACAGCCTGTCTCTCAACTCTCTCCACTCTGGAAGGAGGTCTTCTCTTGCAGCCTGGTGCTTCTCCTGTCAGCTTGATTTGGTTACAGGCAGGCAGTTCTCCTGACATCTGTTGAGCATTGACACACTTTGTTGTAGGCATCAATGTGGGTGTCAGGAGTATAAACCCTCGGCAGGTGCATGAAGGGGATATGAGCCTGTTGTAAGCATGGACACTGCAGGATCGTGGAGAGGTGTTGTCGAGAGGGGCAGGAATTTAAACAACATTGTGGTTGACAAAAGGTGGAAAGCGGACTGCAATGGTTCCAGGTTGTTTCTTTCCTCTGGCATCTGTTGCTTTTCTTTTGCAGATGTGTTTCTTAAATAGCTCCATAGGTGTCTGTTCCCCATTGCACAGAAGTGAGTTTTAAATCCCAGCAAACAGCCACAAGTGGCAGAGTTGGGTGGCTGGTGGTACAGGAGAGGAATGCAGAGGAACGTCTCCAGATCTCGTATTTGACTTGATGTCCCAAAGAGAGGCAGTCTTTGGTGACAACAAACCCCAAACTGTTCAGGACTGTATGAGCTGTAGCCACTGCCAGTAGTCATGGCGTGCCAGAGTTGAATGAGAGCCACATTGCTCACATCTGCTGCTGCTCAGTAAGGTCCAGGTGGCCTTCCTGCTGCAAGTCACTGAAGTTCTTAATTGTTGAGGGACCCAGTTCTTCACTGGGCTCACCAAGCTATGCTGGAAGGGGCCAGGAAGCTCCCCCACTGCCTTTAGTTCCAGCCTTACATCCTCTGCATGCTAGCAAAGAAACCTGATGCTATAAAGTAAATCCTTGTCTGTTCAGTGTGGGAAGGCTAGAAGGAAGGACTGCAGCATGAAGGAGAGTTTGGAAGGACACTGAGGCCTTCTGCAGTGTGAGACGGTGCCTCTGACTCTTGGAAATGGCTAACACAGAATTGCGTGGGTGTAAATCACAGCAACATTTAGCCTTTCCTTTACAGGACTCAGATATTCCAGACTGTGTGTATAATAGGGGACTGTATTGTGGTGTTGTTTGATACATGTTGATCTCTTCATTTTTTTCAGTGGAGCTTTTGACCCCTTTGTAGTAAATTTAAGTGTCCTGGCAATGGGCTTGGTTACCTTTTGCAGCCCTCCCAGGCATCTCTTGCTTACAGGTGTAAAAGCTGCTGCTCATGAGAATTGAACCACTCCTGAATGAACTCCTGGGGTGAAGTTCATTCCCAACAGCTTTATGTGTCGTAGCTACCTTGTTTGCTCAGTTGTACTCTCTAGGAACTTCACACCCTGCTCCTGGTGCAATATCCAGCGGAAATGGGTGATGGGAGGGTTTTGGAAAGCTTTGAGCATAGTATGGCAATAGCAAAAGCATGACTGTTTGAACTTTCTGCGTTCACATCAGCAACCTTTGCCCGTGATAGGACAACATAATCAGCATGGGCTGAAATAGCATTTAACCCCACCAATGTCAAGTATCTTTAGCGTTTCAGTGTGCATGGGTGCTGTTTGCAGAGGGATTCTTTTTTTTTATGTGGCTGGGAGGTGTTTTCAAGTGTGCCAGGGAGATCAAAACATGCCTGGGTTGTTGCTTAGAAATTTCTGTTGTAGACAAGGCCGTAGTGTTCAGCTCAGTGTGTCTGAGTTCATTTCATTGCTGCTTTCAGGTTTTTTTGGAAGTGGGTAGCCATGTCTCTCCTGATATCCAGGTGCATGTCTTATCCTAGGTGCTCATCTCTTGCTGGCAGCAATTTCCATGCCGTTTTAGGTGCTTCTTCATAGTGCTAAGTAATTGTGTTATTTTACAAATGGGCTGTTTTGTGGCATTTGGTGGAAAGCCCACTTAGAGTAATTTTTCTAGAAATGCATTGATTTTTTTGCTAAAGGAGCCCTGTACCTTTGTTTTTCCCGTCAACAGATAAAATAGCCCTTCCTTCAGGGGCCTGTTTCAGTGAAATTTGCTTGTCCCTCAACAGGTGGCTAATACCTCATTTTTTCCTGAATAAAATATCTATAATGAGTGCAGTCAGCTCATAATTACTTCATCCTCTAATATATTTTTGCCCATATATCTTTTTGCCTCCAATATCTTCTTTGCTTGAATTAGAAGAGAGCTCTTTGCCAGCAGGATTTTCTGTTTTGGTTTTTTTTTCATTTGATGATCAAGATACCTTTATGCCCTTGTTTTAAACTTGTTTTTTCCTACTCACTGAAACCATTGGAGCTCAGCTAGGACAAGTGCAGTTGCATGACTGCAGTCTGTGCGTCAAGTGACTGATTGAAGTTTTAAGGCAAACATCCCAAAATTTGTGGTACCTATATTTGCAGGTAGAAATTATCATACCGTATTTTACGCCTGAAAATTGTGTTTACAAGTTCCATCATTATGGGTGTGCTTACTGAAACTGGCACCTGCAGCTTATTGAAAAATGTGTTACTCCCGGAATTTGTTGCTTCTTTCTGGAATAAGCTTGGATTTCTTGTAGGTCCTACTCCTGTGAGGTGCTGCTTGCTCTGACTTGTGATTGACAGTCTCTGGAGCTATGCCCTTCGTAGAGCACAAATAATGCATTGGCTAACTACAAGTTGTGGGTTTATAGTGTGTTTTCTTGTCTGTGGGTCCCAGAGAAAGGGTCTGAATGTGGGATTGTTTTAAATAAGGGTGAGGTGCAGGTTCAGGCCTCTGCATAGCAGTAGATAAGCTCTGGACTGGCCTATCTTCTCAAGGAGAATTCACCTTTGCTTTTCTTTGTCTACTTTCAGACTCAGCTCATTTCTTCCCCTAACTCATGTTTCTGTTGATGACCCCCCCCTTCTTGCTTGAGTTACTCACTTGGCTTGCTTTGCTTCTTTGCTAGCTCCCTTCTTTGCCCACAGATCACTGAGCTCTGCCATGTTTGCATCCTCCCCCAGATCATCTCACCAGCTTCAGGCTTCTCCTCTGCTCCCCTTTGACAGGCACCTCCTTAACATCAGGAACCAACTCTCAACTAATTATCTGGGTTGCTGATTAGCAGTTTGCGAGGACAGAGATGGCCTGGGCTTTTTGTTAAGGCTCTGAGCAAATACCAACCATTACATGGTTCCCGGTGTGATCTGGAAGCTGCCTTGCTGCTTACCTGCTTGTACCCC